GTTAAGAAATCCCATATAAGAAGTGGATGGCAAATAGGGGGGGGATGCCGAAAGGGATGTATGGGTAACTACGTCAGGTGAGGTATCCACAGGCAGGACCATACGTGCCTGAGCGGCTTGACTATAGCTAAGTGCGGGCATCCAATCTGGATTTGATGCAGCGACGTGAAGCCTCGAAAATTTTAGGTTAGGATCGACATCATCACCTACAGGACGTGGATGACTTGGGTTAAATGACTTTCCATTTAAAGTCATCTTGAAAATAATTATTACCCTTCTCCGATAAATTTTACTTATGAAATATAAATATCTAAAACAATTTCTGATTTTCAAAAGCTGATATAAGCACGCGCCTCATAAATTTTAAAATGAAATAAACGTACTAACTGTAAAAAATACTTTATACTAAGAAATATGTATATTTTTACGCAACACTGCTCTATAGAATGAGGGAAAAAGGTTTAATCTACTATGGAATCTATCCTTCTATGAGGACCTGTCAGAAAAGATAAAGAACTACCTTCCTAAGTCACAATAATAGAAAAAAGGAAAACTAATTAACATTACTACTGTTTGGATTCTTTTAAAAAGGTGTATTACACAACTTCAATGGTTAGTTCAGAAGTCAAAACAATCCCTCGAAAGGATTTTACATTTCTATAAAATTGCAATACGCTATCAATTGATAGATACACATATTACACTCATGAACAATATCGCCGTCTTATCTGCTCCCTTATCATACCATGAGAAAAAAAAAGACTATTATACAAAAATTACTTATTATTGTCCACTGTATATAATAGGATTTAATATTTCTTCCATTGTCTTTTAGGAAACTACGCCTTTTGATGACGGTTCCTATCTAGAAGCCGTTTTTCCCCATTCTCTTTGTGGTCAGTCCCTCAATATAATTTCCCCAAGTTGTCTATTTCAAACCAGTACATAAGGAAAATAAACCCTTTTTACCACGATACTTTATCTTTTTTAGTAGTAAGAAAGAACATTCAAAAAAAAGCGCCAAATTAAGACAAAAGACCAGCATTTGCCCACTCTGCCGCCGCTGCACTGTTAGTTGGTTTCGCCTCGTCCCATGGTCCGTTGATTTGATTTTTCACACTGCTGTGCAACGATACAAACCACCAGGGTATTACAAAAGATATCATGAGTATACACGTAACGTAGAGTATTACTAAAACTGGAATAGTCAGTAAACAACCCGTATTGATCACAAAAAGAAGAAGCGTAAAGACGACATGAGCGGTAAAAGAGGTGCGCCTCACATAATGTCGGACTATAGGGCTCAAAGAAAAACAAAATGATCCAAATGCAATCAGTGCCCCGCTATCAAGCGGATTTGGGATACGTGAAGCCACCATAATCACACCAAACGAAGCGGCATTGACTGAAAGATTAGGCGAAAAGCCAGTTGTATATGCATTTAGATAGCTATAATCTGTCGTTAAGACATGCAAAGACATTGTAAAGATGCTAAGAGCCACAATAGTGTCGTTGGAAAAGCTCGCAGTTAAGGTGCTCAAGATAGGGGTTAATAGCACCATCATAGTCCCAACACCAATTGTTTTACGAAAAAACCCAAACGCGCTGTCCGCGTAGGGGAGTTCGGGCTTCACAAGTTTGTCCTCACCGTGGAAGGAGGGGCTGCCGTTGTGGCCAGTGTTCGCGGCAAGCCCATGCTTCCGATTCATGCTGCGATGTCTAACGCCATTGGAGGCATTATCAGATCTGGTACTAGTTCGCTTTATATCACTTTTATGGCGCCCGCCCACCCTTGTCTCCTTTTTATCGCGACCAGAGCTCGATGCTTGAGGTATCTGAGACAAATGAATAAGCACATAATTCTGCGTGCCCGTGTAGTTGACTCTCATGGTTTTAAGCTGAAAGTACACGACAATAGTCAAAAAAAATACAGCCAGGTCCACATATAGAATTGTGTAATGGTTCATTGTCTGATTCAACAGCATCGAAAAGGCGCATGCAAATAAAATAACAATCGAGATTTGTTGTGTAATCGCAAATGTGTTCTTAACGACTTCAGTATATTCATAAGTCGTGAGGTGTTCATTTTGGCGAAGATCCTCAAGAAATTGTTGAGGATCGACGTAATTATCCTCAAAAGGTTGCTTTTCGTACAAAATTTTTTGCCATTTAGGCATGGTCGAGCCATCTCCTGGCTGCCCAATAAAGTTTCTTTTCATATCATTCATCCCTTTTATGGCACCATTAAGTGCTGGAGTCTTGTGCTGCGCCATGCCATCGCCTTTGTTGAGGTGATTGTAACAACAATAGCCATCTGTGTGGTCTAAGATACCATTACTGTATCCGCCTTTATCCTCAGGGTGATTAAATACTGAGCCTAGCTTACTGTGTTTTGAGCCTGGATGTTTATCAGCTTCTTTAAGCTCCATTGGGTCTAAGCCATTTACAATAGGGATACTACACGAATTTCTCCTAAAGTTTAAACTTATTTTTTGCGGTCTAGATAACTCAGCATTAGTTTCCATCTGATTGTGCTCAAAACTATCCTTCACAACGTCTTTACTTGCGTGTTCGCTACCTAATGAGTCATTGGCAGACATTTGTGTATAAGTCTGTATATGACCCTCTTTTTCTTCAACTTTAGGCACATGACTAGAATTAATGATGCTCTTCTGAAGACAGCCTAACAAGGTTGGATATTTGACCTCCTCCTCTAAACTGGTGTTCTCAAGTGCTGAAGAAAACCTTTCTACATCTTTTAGGGTACTGTTTTTATAATTCTCATCTACAGACACCATATCAAAACTGAAAACAGAACTCAGAGCTTCGGAGTACCATTGACCCTCATAAGTGTTGGGGTGAGATGAGGACGAATGCGACGAAGTAGCTTTATTCAATCCATCAGATTCGCCGTCATGACCCATTTCATCTTGTGTTAAACAAGAATTAACTGTCTCACTATTGTGTTTGGCTAGAATCAAAAAAAAAGTGAAACGTTAGAACAAGTTTATTAAAATCACTATAAAAAATATTTATGAAACACAGCTTTTAGGATCATGGAGTATTTTATGCAGTATTTTTTTTTACTTGAATTTCACAAGTAAAATACAATTTCAAGTAGATATGCATATCTAATATGAACCAGAGTCGCTTTGCGATGTTTTGTTAACGGATAGTGTCTCAAAATCTCAGGTAAAAAATATTTTGAATACGCACTTCTGACTTTAGTATGTATATATATATATATATATATATACATATATATAGGTATAGAATTTATTTGACAAATACGCATAAGTTGAAATTTTATGTGGAAAACAGAGTGTCCAAGGTGTAGTCTTTATAGAAAGGACACTAAAGAAAGCGATTATTATGGAATTAAAGTACAACCTGAAGCAAAATCCGCCAGTAACACCACTATTATCAGTTGTTCATTAAAAGCTAGGTTAATGAAAGTGAAAAATACGAAGGAATATTGACTAAGGGAAAAGCCCAATACGTTGGTACATATAGAAGTTGACTTTAGGATAAAATTTTGATCAAAGAACAAAAAAAAGGAATATTCCCGTTTACACTTTGCTCCCCACTTCCCTCCCACACACATACAATGCGGTATACTGGCCGAATGTGGAGCTAACACATATTATATCAACACAGCGGATTTCGGAGCACAAGTACGAAGTAAAGTTAGGTTGCCTTTTATGTCTCCTAACAGCATCACTTGCGGGTTCCTTCGATTGCACGCCATGGTTGACAAGGTTGTATCCATAGGCAGCGAAACTGTACGTAATGTTTTCATGAAGAATGAGTGTACAAAGAGGATGGCTGGTGTGCAAAGTACTGAACCCTCTTCTGAAAAATTAGAGTGATGCGCAGTCGTATCCACCACTCTGTTGAAAGGGACGCAATGCATCAGAAGATACTGCTCCGAGGTCGTGACCCAGCACATCAAACGGCCTGGTGTCGAAAAAGAATGCAACATAGTCCCATTAAGATTAATTTGATGAACTATGTGGTCCATTTTAGAATAGAAAAGTATATTAGGCACGTAGCAGGTGGATTGAATAAGAATACTGTGAATCGGGTGTTGCCGTGGATGCCGAAGAGTGCGCTCCAGGCTGGTTGTGTTCAGTGAATGCAGCATCAGTACCCCATCCATGGATGCGGTTGCGACGACACCCAACGTGGAGCACAGATGTACTGCCGTGGGCAAATCCTCGTGTCTGTAGATAGTAAAAAACGGTTTCACTTCCAGCTGCCGTTGTCCTCGGGGTAAATGGCAAGTCCACACCACAAATGTGGTGTCCTCAGAACCGGTGACGAGGTAGTGGCTGTCATAACTCGCTGCAAGTCGAATCACGCGCCCGCGGTGCACGCGAAGATGGACATCTTCGACCGCTTGAGATAAATGACGAATAGTGACGGAATGGTCAAACAGGCCTCCCAGCGCAATGAAGGATTCCCCATCAAAACAAAGCAACACGGCGTTTTCCGGAGAGCAGGGCCCATCCCCTGTTCCTATGTTGTCATAAATGACACTAAGTGGGGCTGTCGTTGTGCGAAATTCTAAATATTCGCTAATATCAAAGCTGGATTTCTCCTCCCTATCGTTTCGCTGTGGTGACAACAAGGATGAGGAATGCTCGGAAACCCCTAGCTCGTTGACAACCTCACTGCGCGATAGAGAATCAGGCGTTGAAGACTGAAATGGGTCGACCCTATCATTACTGACTCCTGACGCCAGATGTAGAAAATCCTTTGTGCTTACAGACGAAGCAGTCGATGAGAGTGTAGAATGGCATCCAGATGACAATCGCTGATATTTTCGGGATTTGACAGGATGTTTGAGAGGCAAAATAGCTAGTTTAAGTGTGATGGCCGCACCATTTTTGTTCACTACAATCGCATTCCCAGAGATATTGAATGAAATCAGTGCTATGCCCTTTGGAGATTTCCAATGCAGCGACACGATCTTGAGGCTAACCTGGCTGATCAAGGGATCGAGGAGCTCCCGTGGCCGTCGCGAGGGATGACTTTGTCGGAACAGCTGTATCGGTGTTTGGCCAATGTTATCTAGTATATCCAGTAGCTGATGCCGATCGACTTCGCTACTGTGACTTGATTCCAGATCCTCATACGAATGCCATCTGAACACGTTAAGAGCCTTAATTGCATCCTTACCCCGTTGCTGTATGCCAAAGATTAAGTCAATCCAATGGTGAAGCATCGAGGAAACGTAATCGCATTCCAGAGCTTCACGCATATGATAAATAAAATTGTGAGGTGAGCTGTTCGCCCAAGGTGGGAGCACAAGGTTGTCCACCAACTCATTGTTCTGTTTTCTGCCAAAAAACACGTCATTGGAGTTTACACAAAGCTCCGGCATGTAAAAGAGCTCTGGGATAAGTTCGCGAGTGTCTTGCATGTTATTGATGATCCCATTAAACGCAGTCGACATAATGTGAAACATCCGGTCTGGGTGATCAAATTGGCCTCCTTGAAGCAGGATATACAACGTCGTGAAGGGCTCCAACCGCATTAGGTAGTAGAGCACCACAGCAGCGGAGCTGTAGTGGGTGAAATAATGTGATGGTACATCGCCCATTGCCTTTGTTTCTTCGTAGAGTTCTTTAACACGCTCGCGACGTTTGTCGTCGCCGCATGCACCGATAGGCTTTGAAAGATCCCGAAAAGTTTCGGGGTTTCCTAAGTCAAGGGTTTCACTTGTGTAATCAGCGAGGATCCATGGGAAGACTGGGTATTGTGCCATGTCATTTACCGATCGTCCTGCGAGTAAATTGAGACACATTAAGTAGTCAAAATTCGACATTTCACGACTCAACCAGCGATCCTGAGACCATTTAAGAAGTGGTTCTTTAAGAGGATTCTCTTGCAAAACGTAGAAACTACGAATTGATACTACACGACGTGGATCACGGAGACGATGGATCGCAACGACTTTTCTGATTATTTCCCTCAGCGCAAGTCGCATTGTAGCTGTTTCGGAAAAGTTTAAAAGACAACTGCGACGATTATGCAGCCAAAATTCCATAGCTGTGCGCTTCATGCGAAAGCGACGCCCTGGTGCAACTTGCGCAATCATAGCAATGCCGAAGCCAAAATTTTGAGGTCGAATAAGAAAAGGCTGTGCCCCAGGCGAAATTTGCTGATTATACGACTTGTTTTCTTTGTCAATAATGACATCTATTGACATACCACGGATAACAAACATTGCACTCCAGCAATGCATCATGTATGACATTTCGCATGGGATAGACAAGACTATGGGAGGCAAATTTAAGTTCGTCGCATTGCTAAACACATCGTCAGGGACTCCATTGCCAAAGGCAGTGGCTTCAGAAGTAATTTGAGAGTAGGTAGGGCTAAATATCTTATTGGGCCAAAAATTGTCTTTCTCTATTTCAAAATTAATCTCCCCCTCTGTTCCCAGTCTTCCCTTGTCATCCTCTGTGACACCCTGTTCCCATTGAGACTCTTCACTGTCGCTTAGGCAAAAACGAGTGCGAGTAAGTCGCTTTTTATCCCCATCAGGAGCCAGTCCAGATGATGACGACTGGATTATATTACCACTCAGCCCGCTCACCGCCCGATGGTTCGTGCCACCTCTGTCCAAAACAATCTTAGAACGCATTAATGGCTGCTGCTCCTCCAGCGATAACCTCACAAACTGAATGCCTCCAGATTGGCCCTCCAGCTCTTGGTTCCATATGGTGTTCTTAATGTGCTCCATGAAGCGTGCCACCACCGCCGAAAGGGGTGTGGACGCCGCCGTCCGCAAGGCCTCCGAGGCACCTTGGCTGCCAACTAACGTAAAGCGCGTATCAGATGCTTTGGATGCACCAGCCTTAAAGAGACACTCAATCGAGTCCAGCACGACTTTCCGAGTCTCATCAAACCCGGAGATCATTTCCCGAAGTCGAGAAATGGCATGTTGGCGTTCCATGGGAACCCCATCCGCAACCGCTTTGGCCTCGTAGTTATTCCGCTCCATGGCTAACATACATCGCTTCAAAAAGACACTGTAGTCGACGCGAGAACTCACTTTGAGAAATTCATCGATTAGAGAAGATGGGGTACAACTTGAGCCATCACATAGCCAATTAAACGTTCTCGGAGTATTACAGCGGAATCCAGTCTCCTCCGAAGCGCGCAAGTTCAAAGATTTGTCACTTTGAGAAGCAAACACAATCATTTTCTCGAAAAAAATCTTAAAAATACCGAAAAGACGCTTAAAATATTTAATCAGATCGGCGTTAGTGTCGGAGTATCGTATAATGTTGTCAATACCGGCTACATGTAGTCGCCGAAGGACCAAATTTTGAATAAAATACATCATAGACATGCTGATGGTCAGCGGTGAATGATTCTTTTGGCTATCAATAGCCTTGGATCTGATCAAGGAAAGCAATCCGCTGGGCGCTACCGTCACAAGGTTCGTGTAGCGATCCAGAAGCTTAAGTAATGCCTCGATGCTGCCTACCGAGTTCAACATCATGCTGCTTGCTACGCGCATTAGCCGTTCAAATATGCGCAGGAAACCGCCCCTGCGGCACCTGGTATCATAGGTGTGTGCCGGTTCTACACCCATCGCCAGGTGAGCGCAGCTGGTGTTTAATATCGATTCGTTAGTGGTAAGGAGGTACGCAACCTTCAGAGCCAAGCTCATGTGGAACCAGCGGCCATCTGGGGATGAGAGGAGATCGCGCCTCCCTTCGTGGGATGCAAAATGTGTTTCCCCGACGTATTTAACCGCATCCTCCAAATAGACAGGTGGGCGCAATGTCAGCGGGTTGCTCACAGAGAATGTCAAGTCGGTATATTCAACAAATGACACTGCGTCTTGGTTCACGACAACAACTAACTCATTCCATTCGATGTATCGATGCTTGCCAGTACTTTTCAGTGAACTTGGGTGGGGTGCAGACAGAAACATGGTATCATTGCCAGAAGAAAAGCCACAACTCGCTGAGTGGAAAAGCACATTCTCCACCGTATATACAAAGGCGGCTAGATTTTTATATATTACATTTGTATTTGGAAGTATAAACATGTTTGAATTAGTCTCTGTGCTCGTGAGAAGTCTACTTTTTAGGCAGTCCGCCACACCACACAAGACATGATTCAATAGGACATGAAGACCTTGATCTTGCAGATACATTACTAATAGTTCCTGTTCTGAAACGGCATAGTTGGTGTTAATCAACGCCTGAGACAAGGTGAAAGACATAATAAAGGAGCATATCAAAAGGAATCCGTCACTTGGCGTAGAACTACTGGATGGTGCCGATATTGATAAAGGTAACAAGCTTAGTGAATCACATTTGTTTATTTCCAGGTCTGCATTTAGAGGCTTCACGTCAACGGCTGAACGTTTTCTTTCAGATTTATAAATATCCGTTATCAAGAGATGCCAACCCTGTATGGAAATTAGTCTTTGCCATGCCTTGGGCTCATTTTTAAGGCAATCCACTAGATCATTGAGTACACATTGCCTCAAAAAGGAGTCATGAGATGTCTGAATTAGCAAAAGTATAAGTTCTAATACAGAAGGAATTTCAATCTGGCCTGTGACAGAAAGAGGTGTATATACCAATGGAAACGGATCTGAAATCACAAAGTCTCCAAAGAGTGCGCTACGGAGGGTTAGATACAAGGCAATATCAGTGGGCCGAAGACATAAATACTCTTTCAACCATGCTAACGAGATATCGTGTGGTGTGTGGACAGCATCCTTTGTAATAAAAAGTGTCGGGTTCATGTATTTCTGCGTATGCTTAGAACGGCTAACGAGCAAAATAATCAGCAAGAGTACCTGCCGCTGCGCATCGGCAGGAACGGTTAGACAATTCAAGAATGGTAACAAAACTGAAAGATAGTCCTCGCGACCAAGAAATTGGCACAATAAAGGATTTCGTGTGAAGAGGATGATACGAATTCGGCGAAGAGCATGAGTGAGCTCGTCACCTGGAAGCTGTCGGTGGTGGCGATAAAGGATAGAAGTAAAATGTAATATCGAAACTGCGTCAGTCAAAGTGATGGGGTCCACAGTCAAAACCTCAAAGAAGCGAAACAACTCCTCGTGCAGACTCTTTCCGTGTGGTGAAAAGACTTTTGTGGTGAATGATGTACTTTGTTCGTTACTCGTATCCTCTTCTCCATGCGCACTGGGGTACACGGTAGCAGCCATATAATGTAATATGGTGAATTGAATCTCTGACACAATAAACATCTGAGCACCGAGTGCCCGAATTCGAGAACGGACCTCGATGTTCATGGAAGCAGAAATCCGTTGGCAGTTGATCGAAACCAGCTGAGTCGTATATGGGTAGGCATGGAGTATATTGCTAGATAGAAAAAATGCGGTATAAGCAGCCTCAAAAAGCACATCTGAGGAAAAGAGCTTCTCAACACAAAAGGAATGGATTTGCTCGGGTATGGTCACGTCCATTATGGGCCCCAACTTATGTAGAACATTAGCAATGAAAAGGAAAAAAAACGATTCGGTCATACCGACGTGCACAACATCATCATGCGCTAAGATGTGGAGGAGCTGAAGCATGTCCCTGAGCGCTTCATTACGTTCTTTATCCTCATTGGTCGGTAGTGGTGCATCCTCTACATGGTGAATGCACTCATCAAGCTCAGAAAATGTAAGAAGAAGAGTGCGTTCTGAGAATGGGAGCTGTGAGTTAACTAAAAGCATTAAAATTGGCATCACTACGGTGTATAATGCACCTAGTACATGTAATGCGTCGATAATGCTTGTCGAACAGCAAATCAACGTGCCTTCAAAAACCATCAATTCGCTTTCAGCTAAGCGGTCACGTAGTAGACTTGAAAGATTGTAAAGCTTCCCTTTCCCACTTAAGCGCGGGTCAATACAGATAGCTGCCTGCACCGTCAAATCGTTCTCGATTCTTGGCCATGTCTCACCACTTATGACTGCTGGAGCACTTAGGACGTCTGTTACTGTTCTTCCCTGTTCTGAAGACTGAATAGATGGCAAAGAAGGTTGACGCACAATAGGAGACCGCCTTTGCAATGAAGAAGACTGAATGCAGGCTGCAGTGTCTACGTCGCTACCCGTGTTAAACATCGCCGCGGTCTCCCTACAGTACCTGCATAAAGTACGACTGCATAGCTGGCTAATTTCCTTGCGCTGTAGCGGTCTTGTAAAAAAGTGCACATTGGCCACTTGTCCGACAAAGCCTTGATCAGAGGATAGTCGATCAACCGCTTCATTATCTGTACCTATAAGAAACCACCCCCTAATTACGTTCGGATAATGAACCGAAAGCCGTGCGGATTTCTCTTCTCCATTCTTGAAAATAGTGACATTTTTGGTTCTGTTGCTCCTCGTTAATGAACTGTAAGGGCGGTGGACAATAGCCAAATGGACCCAGGAAGCAAGAGGAATTGAAAAACCCACATCAACCTCCATATTGTGCTTCTGAGAATCAAGATAGATTATACTGAGACACCCTGTTGTAAGCAACACGTTGAGCTTCAATTGAGTCTTAAAATCTGAATTTTGCAACGAGAATATAGTCTGAGATGTTTGCTCTTCGGTTCGATTCAAGTTCTGAATATCGTTTTCCACACGCACACATAGGAAAATCGAGTAACCATCAGCGGAATACTCTTGAATCATAGCCCTCACCCCAGCAATACCATTGTTGCGGCGAAAAGCAATGTAGTTTTGTGGTTCAGTCACCTGCTTACACAAAAAGGTCTTAGTGACTTCGCTCAGAATATTGGTTACTAATGGTACCATTTTCTCGCGTTGCCGAACATTCGAGCTGTGCACGATCATCAAAAGCAGTCGTTTCACATGCTTAATATCGATGTGCTCGATAGCTGAAATTTTCATGAGAACCGTTATACTATTTAATATTGACACTATTATTGACTTCATATGAAACATTGTAGTGCAATCCATAGTGTTTATGAGAGGTAGAAGAAGTTGTGCAAGGGCTTCAAATAGACCTGCCTGTGCACATAAAAAGCGGCTGACACGGCAGTGTAAGAAGGAGCTATGTAATGTCTTCAGCAGTATACCAAGGGCTTCAATCTTCGATGCATCTGCTTCTGGGCTATCTGATGGTATAGTTAGAACTAATTGTTTCAGCCATTCAAAAAGTGGGATAAGGACTACAGCATTTTGAATGCTGTAGTTGAAGTGCTTCTGCTCGGTGCATACAGCACGCAAGTGGTTTGGGTTAGCTGGCATAGAAGACACACTAGGTGGGATTCCTGCTTCTCGAGACGCTGAAGGTATTTCTTCAGCTCTCTGATCTACTTTGTCTATGTCCTCATAAATAAAAACAACAAAGGCCTCGATAAATCCCTTCCAATCGTTCGGCTGCATAGCAAACCACTCTGTACTGAAGCATTTTACAAGTTCGTCAGGGGTGATGACAGAAAACAGATGGTTGCGAAGCGCGGGAGAGAAGGCGATGAGACTTGTAAGGGTCTGGAGCACAGACTTTACACCTTCAGCGTGCATTATTGGATTCGACCATGGACGCGATACGCAGTGAATAAGCTTAAGAAAACAGTCGCCGGAAGTGTTTTGGTTGCACAAGATGTGCTGCAACATGCGAACAGGATGCAGCGATGAACCTGAAAGCCTGTGTCGCAACCTATAAAGAGCTCCCCGTAAACACCGTAAAATCAAAACTGTTATATCCTCAAACACACAGCTCGTGCTTATTGAAGAGCCTTGCATTGTGTGGATAAAATTTGTAGTGCTAATGTCAAAGGAAGGTTCCTCACCTTTTGCACTTGCAACGAAATGAGAGCCATGTTTACCCTTAATACAAAAAGCACTTTCAAAATCCTCAGAATAACCAATAACATCCCATATAATTGAAACCAGCGGTCTCAAACACTGTATGGATTTAATATTGCTATCTCCTATTGCATTATCCAAACTTGTAGTACTTGGCCAATGACACAAAAGTCTAATGATAATCTCTTCCCCTACCTCCAACAGATCTTTACATAATAAAAGCGAAAAGACCTGGCCTAGATACCTGGATAGAACCGCGATCACCGCCGACTCGTCGTGAGTAAGCTCCAGTAGAAGGTGTGTTGTCCAACGCCACACAAGAGCACCTGAAGAGTAAATGCATGTTCGATTTGTCTTTACAGGATGAACCTCCCCATCATTTTCTCCAAGGGCTACATCGATTATCCCATTGTAAAACTTTGTGGGTGTCTTAAGGTGCCTTCCTTGACAAAGCTCAACTGCGACGGACGTCATTAGCGCAAACCCTTCGTGAGACATCAATGTGCCTCGCACGACATTGCCCTTGGGTCCCCTTAGTGCACATACCAAGACTGCACATAAACTGCACAGGTACACCGTACGTTGTTTGGATTCCTTTAGAGTAAATGATGCATTATGGTTCGAAGCAAAGATAGTCAGCGCTGCCATTACCTCACGATCAAAGCCCACATTACGACTCAAAGCAGGCATTGTTGGTTCAGAGTCATGAACCCTTCCCTTAGATTCGTTGTGAATAGGTGTAAGCTCGCCAGTTGCAAAGGTGAATGCTTGTTGCAGTATGTAGAGTGTCACATAACTAAGTCGTGGGATATCGCGGTACGCTCTGCAAAAATGTGTTTCACTAAAAAGAACTTGATACAGTCCTGCAGCCACTAGCTGCTGAAAATCCTCTAGCTGAGCCACAACATCAGGGCTGCAGGTAGAGCTAAAATGTTGATTGACGGAAGCATCTTGTCCCTGAGATGGAGATTCTTGAGAAGAACAATGAGAGTTAGCGAAGTAACTATTGATCGGCAATGAACCTAATGCTTGTTGGATAAGAAGATCATAGAGACAGGAATTATCACAGAGTTTGCTCTTTGGAAACTTTTTGAAAACGCTACCTTCTTTATTAGCGAGTTCGTTGTCGACCACTTCCATTGGTGGTGAGGAAGGACCGAATAACTCCTGAATATTGGCATTACCAGAATTGGTATTTCCTATAGATGCCAAATCTGCATCATGAATGTTCATTTCATGCATATCACGCTCAGATGAATTCGATTGTGACCGTGAGTCATAATCCGTGAAGGCTTTTAGGACCGTTAAGCGTACTTGATTGAAAATATTGAAATAAGCATTGTCTTGGAGCACCAAAAGTGACCGACTTACTGAGCGCTGTGCGGTAAGAAGACCTAAATAGCTGTATAGAAATTCATCAACTGCATCTTCAGCCGCTACAGGGTAATACTCCAACTCAGGTCGTGCCAAAGCGCGCTTACAGTTCTTCAATTCGAGTAAATCTTCATTGTTTAAATAATCAAAGCTGACAAACGCCTCTAGTTGGGCCGAGCTCGTATGATTTTGATCACAATACCAAGTATCGCTTTTGTTGCCTTTTTCATGCTTTGAATACGAAGCATTGGTGAAGTTCATCCCTATGAACCGCATGATAGAGCATAAGTTTTCTACAAAGCTCGAGTTATTTAAAGATTGTAATACGATCACAGGGGACTGTCGTAACCAATGAGTGATAAGTAGCATTCCACATGTCAGCTGATTAAAAATAAAAATAGTGGAATCAGCCAACTTAATGGGAATCATTCCAGAATTTCCAGGACAAATTGTGAAACTTCTTGAGTACGCGTCAATAAACTGAGCCATAAAAATGTTCAGTGTCGTTACGGACATATTCACAGCTTGCTTCGCTTCATCCAAGTCGATTGCTGTAGAATTGGATATATGCAAGAACGGAAGCACAGAGAGGATAAGGAAGATTTTGGAGCTGATAACGCAAATTACACTAGCATTGGGTGCTATATTCGAAGAAAATAATGGAGAAATCACGGACACTTTTGAAATATGCGTCAACAACGCAACTAGCTCCCGAACCATTGCGTGGGAAACCACGGAGTTTTGGGGGTTCACATTGTAAGATGAAAATGATGAATCAGACCCCATGGCTGCTCTTATGATTTTACTTCTCAAGAAAAGGTCGGGAGAACCCTGAGCAAGCTCTTGATTGCTTAGCTGTGTTGCACGATAATCGGCATTTGCTGCAGCTCCATTCCCAGAAACTTTGTGAGACAAACTAGTGCTTTCAGGAGGATGTCTAAGGTATAGCCGTAGTAATACATCCAGGAGCAATTCGGTCAGGTGAAGAATATGCCCTTTTGAAGGTTTTCTGTATTCTATCTTTTCACCACCGACGCAATCGATATCTTCATCTTTATGTGCACGCTCAGAGCTTAGGAGCAAATTAGAAAGTAACGGTAACGTGTCCACCACACAGCGCTCCACACCATGATCCAAGAAAATTGGCCCATAGTGAACCGGACTAGAGGCCAGTACCGTATTCCAACAAGGAATCACCACCTCAATATAGTTCAGAAATTTTGATTCAAATGAATTTGAAGGAGGCTTTAATAAACTCGAATTGGTGAGCTCCTTAGCGTTGTCAAGTGGGGTTTCAGCTCCGGTCCCCCCTCCAAGTGAAAATTGCCAGCGCCGCAGTAGAACCTTCACTAAAAAGGAAGGAAGTAAATTGAAAGATTTCTTATAGCTGCTCATTTTACAACTGACAGAATGTAATTTAGGCAATGATGATAAGGAAGAATTTTCAGAGGTTTCGCCTGGTGACTGAGTTGAACAATAAGGACGCAGTTTGCTGTACTGTTCATAAATGATAGCTTCACAATCATTATAAAAAGTACGATCAGTACTTTTATCGGTATTCTTAATCCTGTTCTTTAGTATCGATTCCTTCATGACTTCAGATAGCTCCATGAGCGAGGGATCTCTAGCGGCGAGTAAGCGCCCCAGGTGGGTTGTGGTTAAAAAATCACCCACTTCTTCTAGCTCCTTGTCATACATGTCCCATTCTGAGTGGTCTTCATCAGAACCCTTGGAATTATCGGGCACACTGGATTTAAAGCTGATGACCTTAGATAGTAATCGATATATCATTGTATACAATCTGATACCAATATAGTTACGTACTGTACTTCGTTTTTTCGTTTTCCTAAAGGGCTACACACTTTCAATAGTCAGAATGTATATCTGGTCTTATAAAGTGTCTATAGTCTAGATGTAGTTGCACTGTAATCTACAAGAATGAGAAAAAATCCTTCGCACTCAGTCTAGAAAGAAAGGGTCAATGGGCATACTTGAATAAAGATATAAATATGTTCAAACTATTCAACGCACAGAATATAATAGCATATTTTACCCTCCTATATTTATGTTGCTTGCTAAAACAAATGATAATTAGCTAAGCAGATTTGTTTTGAACACTTTATGATAGATGCATTCGGTCCTACCTATGTAACTGATGGTGGCGGTAGTTCAGCCACCTCCTTTGTGAGCTCACATACCCCTCCCTCCAAGCATTCTGAAAGTTTCTCATAGAGAACCAAATCGTGTGAAACAAACCAATTTAAAAGCCGTTTAGCTCTCGCGGCACTATGGTTCATATATTCTAATGCCTTTTCTCTATCAGCTGCCGACATTTTTGTGGCACCTGTCAGTGGCCGAGCTATCGTTTTATGCAGAGCCCGAGAAACGTGTGTTGCGCAAGTGTTCACTTCAGCTTCGACCTTTGTCTTGGACTCCCTCGACGGCTGGGTGATTTCTAGTTTACGTTTCATAGCCACCTTCGCAAAATCCTGTGACTTATATACAACCGCGATTTGGGCGTCAATGTGCGTCAGTTCCTGACGCAGGTAAAGAAGGTGGGCAAGCTGGCAGAGAAACCCTTTCGCCTCTCCCCAATCCTTTAGAGGTGGCACACCCTCATCCGCGGGGGCACTCACACAATAGTCGTTCAGGGGCTTCCTAATCCCTTCAACAAGCTTCATGCACCGGTTAATGATCTCCTCAGCGAAGTCTGAAAACACGGGAAACTCAATTGCGGGATAAAGCATATTGAGAAAATTTAAGGCTTGTAACATATTGGGGACATAGAACATCTCCTCACAAGCAAACTCAGGAAGTTGTCCGGCCATGCATGAAGAGACTTTGGTTTCTTCTCCAGCCAACGCATAGCGCTTTGCTAACTCTTTGGTGGGTGGATTACACACAAGTTCATTCTGCAGATAATCCCCTGCGAGGAAAACAATGCGCTCCTGGGTATCTTGGACCATACATACCCATGACTCAGACAATTCACGAAGCTTCGTGTTCTCTATATTTTGGTGTGTGAGAACTGTTTGAATATACTCAACTGTATAACAGAGCTCCGTGATGTCGCCCACACGAAGCATTCGGGAGCGAAACTGACGGTACAGACCATCAAACATCTCTGACACCATTTTCGGAAACAACCAGACTACAAAGTCATCCCGTATCCATAATGATTCCAACATGTCGCGTTCCAGAGATATAATTACTTGCATTAAAACGTATATGTAACTGACAAGTCGTGGTAGCGAATAAACAAAAACATTCTGCGCTAAGATACGCCATCTATCCGCCATTTTGGAGTGCAATTTTGAAGTATTTTGAGAGCCCGTTGTGGTGAACAAATTTTCAAGTCGCATTTCAGAAGGAGTGAAAAGCTGTAGAGTCTCTTCCAATAATGACATGTCCGTTACATCTACATGACAACAAAGCCTTAGACATTGCTGTAAAAGAGGGCTTACAAGCGCAATGCGCGACTCGTGATAGGCACTGAGAATCTCCTGCAGCTGGACATTTTTTTCGATGCGCTGTAGTGTCTCCTCGCCAAATGTTTGGTTACCATTATAAGAAAATCGCTTCTGCATTTCAATCATGCGTCTAAGCAAAGTATTTTCATTAAGCTTGTTGAGGTACAGTTGGTTTAGAACTTGCAGACCTTCTTCAAGTGTATTCACAATTCCCTTTGGTGTGATTAACACCTTGCTAGCTAAAAAGAGTGAAGACTCACAATCCGACAACGTAGCCGACACAGAACGCCGGCCTACCAAAGTCTTCTCGGCATCATGATCTTCAATATTGTCAGCCCCGGCCTTCAAGGACATGACTCTTGCTTTCGTGGTGTCTAGTACTTTGCATACCGTGCCACTGGAATGAAGAGAAGGACGTGCGGCGATGTCATTAGGCAAACTTATGCCCATAACCAAACCTTTGTATGCCTCTGAATTCAAAGCACACTGCAGCGCATCTGCAAAAGAATTTTCTAGTGCAGCTTTGAGATATTTCAAAACCCTCTGTTGGGCTTCCATCAGCTTTGTCGCGTATTCCGGAGCAGACTTGAAGGAGCGATGCCTATACAGGAACTGAATTTCATTCTCGAGATCCTGGAACAAAGTAAAGAAGCGAGCCGACGTCGCGCTGAGGGTTGAATCCTTAGTCTCAATGATTAGATCATCAATGTGAGAAAAGTGGCGAAGGGTTTCCTGCAGTTCTGTTTGCACACGCTCAAGCTTAGCACACCCTGTGAGCAACACAGATGCGTTAAGGCTAAGAAAGTCACTCTGATTTTGAATCAATCTCGTCACATCACGCATGGAGTTGATAGTATCAAGGACATATTGCAGCACCTGGCGGCTGTGCTCGCTGCGTGTAAGGTTTTCTTCAACGCAGATTTGCCATTCTTGAAGCCCTATCACTCGCTCAGCACACGTCCTAAAAGCCTTATCGTAAAAAACTTGTTCTGTGGCTGACCCTTGGATGGTGTTATGGCCACCTGTCGAATCGGTTGAATCGTTTACAAGTGTGACAGGGTTATTTGAGACTCTTTTCATCTTTGTTAACGAATGGTTTTCAGCTTCAAGATGGCTGAAGTCGTCTACAAGGTGATCCGGGATGGGGAGAACGCTATCAAAATCCTTAGCAAGATGTGCTAAAAGTAAGTCTAGTTGTTTGGAGCTGGAGTCTATTGTTGGTGAGTAGGAGTCCATGAAACCGTTTATTCAAATTAGAGCTCAATAAATGGCGAATAAGAAGTGAAGGATTAATAATATGCTATATATGATATTTTATGTGTGTGCTTAGGGGGTCACAAAAATAAAAAAGCTCCAGGCAAAGGAATGATGTCTGCGGAAAAAAAATAAGCCTATAATTCGATATTAAAAACATCAACATTAATAAATTCCTACGTGTTACTCTTTACCCCTTCAGCTTGCCTGCTTGCCATTATGGGTATTGCTCGTGTGACGTTATCGGTATTATCTAGACTAATCAAATGTCAATCATCCTCAGCATTTGCAATCCATTGAATCACCTGCGCGACCCTTTGCGCACCCCTTGAATCAGTTGTGGAGCCGTTTTCCTGCCTCCAAGCTGAAGCTTTCATACATGCTTTAACACTAGAAACTAAATGCGCCTCGCGGCGCTTCCCCAAACAAAGTAAAGACTTATCGGACGCGCGAGAACTAAGCGCGATCGTCATGAGAACACGATAAAGCATATCTTCACACAACTCCTGAACATTTACTCTGTGATCAGCTGTCCCGAATCCTGAAACAAACATCTCTTCTCGATGATGTGTCTGGGAGGTATCGGCAAGCAAATCCAATTCAGTAACCTTCGATATCTTATCTGCCGAAGAAGGGCAAGAAAGCGCGAGGGTAACACGCACCAAAACACATTCAAACCCTAAAACTAGGCGATAGATTTCCAACAAAACCCATCGGCTCCTATTGTGAGAATGTTGGTGTAATTTTAAGCTTAACGCTTGCGACGCCCCCAGTAATACTCTCCGCACCATAGAACCGATGGCATGCGAAGTAGACGACTGAATTTCATTAAAATGTGTAGCCCCTGTAAAAAGCTCAATGTTTAGCAAAAGACAGCTCGCCAAAACGAGATCCACAGAACTTTGCATGTTGATTTTTAAGGATTGTTGCTCCAGTTTTGAAATGAGAACAGAGCTCACAGAAGTGAAGAGGTCCACTTCACTTTTCAAATTGTCACTCCACTCATTCCCAGGTTCTCCAACACTAGAAAGAAGAATAGCATGGGTAAGATAAAGGGATATAATATGCCTCAACTTCATTGTTTGAAGGTTTATAAGAGGGGTAATTTCTTCATTATAAGCGTGGTAGCAGCTGGATCTAGACGAAGAGGTACTATCCAAAAGAACCCTACGGAGTCCAGGAAGCAACAACTTGGCTAAGAGGGTTTTATTACCACCTAGGACTCTCTGTTTACAAGAGTTATTCTGCCACCGGCTTCCACATGCGAGGTAGTTTTGCATGCAGGAGAGGATTACAATTCCTCTTGGCGTCAAGTGCGCCCCATTCTCACGCATACGCGTTTGAGACAGAGAACGCAATACATGTTGATCAACGAAACGTGCAAAACGCCACATGCACCGCAGGGCTATGCCTTGGAAAGGTATAAATACATTACTCCGTGTGAACTGTTCCAACATATTACTCATATCACTAAGTGAATCAGAGAGAGGACAGTCACTTTCCTTGTCAGGGCGTCGTGACTCAAGCCTTCTAAGCAGTATATCCATAATTACGAATTCGGAAGGTAGAAGTTTCACATCATAAAGCAACCAGTGAACTCGACTCGTGTGAAGGAGCTCTACTAATTTTTCATTAGAAAGTTTTGCCACGAATGCAGCAAAGGTAGTACGGCAAACTCGTGAGCGTGCCGTGCTCTTAGTACCACGCTTGACCAACACCATTTTAGTAGTACCTAAGCCGCGGCAGCGACCTAAGACTTTCAGGGAAAGGGCAATAACTCTTGAAGAAACCGCTTGATGGTCTGAGCGCCTCAAAAGGTGAGTACACGAAGCGAGCATAACAGCACTAAAGAAAATTCGCTCTGCCACTTTGAGCATGTCCATGTCTTCGGCACTAAGCCCTTTTTTGCCTTTTTCTGAAAACCGTGCACTCTCGACAAGGAGCTTTTTTGTGGAAATGATGTAATATGAATCAAATGTTGGCTGAGGTGGGTCATTAAAAAAATCCAAGGCATGCACCACTCCTAAAAGGTCGCTTAACGAGTATGAATGCATTGTGTCATGAATCTGTGACTCCTGGGCAATCAAAGAGTCTAAACGTTCCACCAACGCCCTGGCCAAAACATCTAAAGAACTTTTCAATTTTGCATTCCGTGATATAGCCAAAGTGTCAATGTCTTGATTTGGATTCAGCATTAGAACACGCTTTGGCCATAAAAAAGCGCTCTTACTCAAAAAACCAGAACGTTGCATGCTTCGAAGAATCGCATAGCACTGGCGCATCTCGCTCTTGGCGACGTGCTTGCCAATCTCGGTAGCCATACAATCCAATATCCGCCGACTGCAAACTCCTGATCGCGCCAGATGGTTCATTAAAAGGGAAAGCTCAAGCGCATCCATACAAGGGACCTGATGCTGGATTTGAGGCAAAAGACTATATAACAAATTGTGATGAACCACACCGACGATGCCAAAACTCTGAATCAACATCACGTATTTTTTCGGCTCTATGGTACGCGTACCACTCGTCGCGGCACCAGGAAGCGAACCGGAATAAATCTCTTTCGGTGACCTCACCTCAAAACTCTTGTCGCCATCAACACTCAAAAGCTGAGATTGCTCTAGAAAAAAGCAAAGGGCATCTCCCAAGGCATTAAAAACCTTAACTATGCCACTTTGAAACGTTAAAAACTGTTCATCGCCCATAGTTGCATTCCTTTTGTTCGTATAAATTCTATCATCCATGGCATCCCTCGCCTCCACATAGTCAAGACGCATATCCCCATCGTCATAGCCAAATACATCACCATCCACAGCCTCGTCAGTGACTTCAGATTTATGTTGAATCTCAACACTCTGCGCATGATATGTAGCAAGGACACAATATAACCGTGCAAGAACGTAACCTAGAACTATCAACTCTTCCACACCGTCTGACAAATGACCAGGATAAGTGTTAAGGATAAACCGATTAATCGCCACCGCACACTGACCTATATAAGAGACCCCGATATCAAGAAAAATTTTCATCCTTTCGCTTCGCTGTTGCTCGGTAAGGTAATTTGATCCTTTTGTAATTGAATACTTGCTGCTTAGCTGTTGCTTGATCGAAGTCAATATAGTTCGGCCAACGGCAATAATCTCTAGGATGGAAAGTGACATACCTATTTCAAGGCAACCTCCCTCAGTACCAGAACGCCCTTGGCTGTCTGGGTTTCTGGCCGTGGCGGCAGCAAGCGATTTCGAAAACCCATCCATAATATGTAAAGGGACTGTTTCTCCCTTTTTAGCGATACGGAGGGCATCCAGCAATTTCTTGTACTGCACAACCGAAAGTGAAAAAGATGAGGGGCGATAAAGAAGATTATCAAGAGCCCGATGAGCACTCGTCTTCCCTAATCCTTGGTAACGGTAGAGCTGTGCAACTGCCATGGAAAGTTCCACCAGCTCGTGGGGATTACACTCCCTAGACACGTACACAATTCTCCGCACAAATGCTTCCAATGAAGCATCCACGGTATGCCGTGAAGGAGGGGGTTGGTAAAGCATGCCTGATTCGATATTAGCATCGGTGGGTAAACGTACTGCCTCTTCATTTTCTCTCTTAAGGAAATCCTTCATACTCCCCACTACTTCCTCGTCCGCTTCGCCATCAGCCAGGAATTTTATTACCTCATGATCTAATTCTCCTGTTGCTCTGGTTGTGGTGGAACTGCCGGCGTGGTGAACATTGGTTTCACCTCGCACGGAAGTTGTTGACGTGCTAAGTGACGGGTAGAGCAACTTGAGGAGACGAATAACCTCTTTTGAAGTCTCAGCTTGGGCCAGGCTGCCCAAAACGCTATTGTACAACCGACTTCGTAGCTTCAATGCACAATCCAAGGCATGTGCATGGAGGCACTCAGTGTTTGACTTGTCTCTAAATTTTTTACTTGGATCGCTCAAAAGCCCTATGAGTCGATCAACCGCGTCAAAAACAACAGCATGGACACTTCTGTGGTTGTCACTTGTATATTCTGTAAGGTCATCGCAGAAAAATGAACTAAGTAACTTTTCTATAGATAGAAAAAACGTGTCGCTGCTCTTAAAACGAAGTCGCACTAGCAATGATAAAATCTGAGCTGCTTCCAGTGCTGAAAGCTTATCATTCCTTGCCAGTTTCGTGGCAATATCAGCGCATTTTTCCAAGGTTGTAGGCAAGACAGGTAGGCGCTCGGTTAAAGCATCCGTATCAGTATTTACTACAGCTTTTCCACTGTGACAGCAGGAGTGTGTTGCCTTCAGGCGTGCTAAACCCTGTAGAAAAGGTACAAGTTGGCTGACACCAACTTGATCCGCACACGCGGTGAAATGAACACATAATAGATTTAAAACGTCGTTAGCAATGTACACGTTTTCAACGGATGTCCTCAGTCCCTCATCGACGTTGCTATCACTTTCGCTACTAACCTCTAAGCGCGATAATCCAGACAAAAGTATGCTACACTCCATCGGCCACATCTTCGCGCCATGGGATTCTACCATCAAAAATAGTTTGGCTCGGATGGATTCAAATAACAACAACCCAATATGAGGGGGCAAACCCAATATTGACGAGTTTCCCGAGTCACGTCCACGAGCCTTGCTAAGCACCTGCACAAACGCACACAGCTCGCCCATTGTGGACATCGAAACCATGACCGGCAAAAATGCAAGCAGAACCTGAATGGGTTGGTCCATTTGTGAATGCATGGAGTCAAACTGCGTGAGAATTCTTAACAAGTTGATGACGTCGTATGGTTTTAGAGAACGTGCCCCCGCAGTCATGGAAGGGTCATTCGACGTGGCAGAGGCTATTGAGTCTCCCAAAATCGGCCACATCATCCTATCACAGGCATCGAGCCGAGCAAGCTGCGAGACCGCACCCTGGGATGCCGCATCGAAGGAGCGCAAAAACTGCCGCATCGCGTGAGATCCCTGCAGGTAATTCGTGCACTCGTTAAGCTTTAGAGGGGGAGCGGAGGTGGTGGACCTCCTCGAATGGGCCGTAGGGACCACGACCTGACCAACCTCCTGAGTGCCACCCCCCTCTGAGGGAGGGTGAAAGCGCCGCTTCAAATTCATCACTGCAGCCTCCAGCAAAGTCAGTAGCTTGTCGGCCTCATCCAACACACAGGGTTTTTCAGGCGTAGGAAGAGGTGTCACCTTTTCCTGCGCTACCGACTCGTCGAGACCGGTGCCCACTACTGTCAACACCGACTCCGCTAAAGGACTATCGCTGGGGGTTGCCAAAAACTTTGAAATCAGTAAAAACACGGATGCAACTGCCGTGCGATTTTGCTGAAGCAGTCGGTCCTCATCAGCCTCTCCACATGCTTGATCCCCGGCTGTGGCTTCCGCCACAGAAGAAACATCGGAAACGTTGTCCTGCAGAAGCGACATTAGCAAGGGCTCGTATAGATAGCTCCATATAAATTTATGACCGTTCTTTTGTCCATCCTTTAGATTCATAATTGGTACACACACAGAAATGATCTGCCGTGTGGTTTGAAACTGCGAAAGATGACGCCGAACCCAGTTAATACCCTCGGAAACCCGCGCATCGGTTGTGGAGGCCCTAAAGAAAGATGCCACTGTCAGCAACTTTCCGACCTCCATGAAGTACTGGGGTGAGCTCGAAACCAAGTCGGAGAGTGGATCGTGTGATCGCGTTCCTTTGTTTAAAAGTCGCACGGCATCCGCCATGAGCCTTTGAAGGTCGGCATTACTTGGGCGCGATAAAGAAAAGGAGAGGGATGGATATGGCGAAAGTAAAGTACCGGTGGAAAGTTGCGTCGCCTCGGGGGCTGAAACACCTACCGACGAAGCCTGATCGATAGATTTAATGCCTACCGAAGAAGGCTTAGGCTGTGCAGTTGGGGTGGAAAATCGTGATGCGGTGGCCGCATTACCACCCAATCTCTGGAATTCATTTCGTAAACGAAGTAATGTCACTAAAACCGATCCGGGGCGAGAAGATTTATAGCACTTGCTCAAAAACAACATGCTACCTTAGCATAAGCTGATACAGTTGTTTATGCTTACTGTGGGCCTATAAATTAGAAAAAAGAGGGGGATAAATTTAAAATAATGTCGACCTAAATACTGTCTACAGACTCAAGCTGTGGCGCCATCGGAAAGGTTATAAAATTGAAATATAATAGGTAGTAAAAAAAAAAACATTTTTTTGATGTACATGCTTACAGTCCTCTGTTGTATTTTGAACGTAATTTCATCTGTTTGCCCTTCAAGACAACGCCTTTACCTCTCATCTGGTTGCCAACATCACCTTTCTTTTTAAAGGGACCAGGTGTAATAGGGTCTATTCGGCTTAATTGACAATAATGACGCCAGGCCTCAAGATACTTTGCTTGACTAAAATTGGACATAGAAACAGGAGGTAAGAAAGCCGTGCGCTTCAAACTAGATGAAACCCTCTGGTTATATTGGTCTTTTCTCTCAGTTTCCCCGAGAATCATGTCCTCTATCGGACTTTGTGTCTCTACACGAACGGCAGATCCATTTAAAGCCAAGGTGCCGTTAGATACTTTGGGATGTATGCGTGCAGAAAACCCCGCCAATGGTGGCAATAAATATGAAACATCCTCGCTACCAAGGTAACGAGTCACAAAAGCCCTGAGCATAGGATCAGTCGGTTTTAGTTCGTGGCAAGATAGCACATCACGTAAAGCATAAGACGGCTCCTCTAGTCTAAATCGACACATCGCTCGATGAAAGAAAAAAGCGGGCTGTTGGCTGTCGGCCTTGATCGCATTTGAGAACTCAACCTCAGCTTCCTTAAAACTACCCGCAGAATATAGTTTACATGCCCACAAGTTATGCAAGGAGGCTATACGTCCATTCGCTGAAGAGGCCAGTGGAGAGATCTCACCCCCCAGCTTGTCCTCCAGGTCGAGGACTTTCTTGTAATCCTCCAGAGCGTGTACATAGTCCTCCTTCTTCGAATAACAATCTCCACGTGCGAGAAGCACCAAGGTATTATCGGTACGCCACTTTAAAGATTCCGTGTAGTACACGATAGCCTCGTCCAAATTACTTTTGCTCTGATTACCACCACCACCGGTGCTGGGATCCGTATCGCTTTGGTCGTCTGCAAGGCTGGTTTGGCCAATTGTAAAAAGCACTGAGGTCATCATTTCAATTGCCTGGCTATGGGTACCGTTACTTTCCCTTATACAGCGAAAAAGGTCCCTAATACTCCGTTTGAGTTGACCAGTACGAATATAAATTTGCGCTCGGGAGAAGAGTAAATCGACACTGTCTGGAAAGACATTAATACAACGGCTGATCGTACCAATATCTTGTCTCGCGAGTGCTTTGGTACGATAATCGATGTAGGTGTCCTGAAATTGCTGTTTTGCAACAATGGCTAGGTGAGCTTTGTTTACCCCTTTCTCCATACACCCACTTTCAGATTCCACTTTCACGCCTGATCCACAGCCTTTAAGCTCCTCATCCAGCAACGTGCGCGCTGCTTTAAATGATTGCCGACCACAACATAAGTGTGATAAAAGTGCTGCTATTGGTACTCGAAGAGGGCTGAAGGAGGATGTCGTGGCATCCTTCGCAGACTTCTGTATTTCCTTTAGGTAATTCTCTAACTTTCGTTCTGCTTCATCCTGCCGTTGCATCACAATCAAATACATGCACCAATGCAAACACACGAGCGGCTGGTTGGGCAATATAGCCAATGACTGCTCTGCAAAGCGCAAAGCTTGCGCAAAGTCGCCCATACGGTAGTGTACGAGACTTAGCGCATCAAGGAGCCCCGCCAAACGTGTCTTAACCTGGCTTTTTCTCACCCCAGGAGCCCATGGCTCTTTCTCCATGGAGGTAGTCAACTCCGCCATTGATTCCTGTGTGGCAGGGGATGCACCTTGATTGACCAATTGTGCTTCTCCGCACCCGACGTCTTCGTGATTAACGACGTCAGGGGAAACAGAAGTCATTGGACCTGCGTCCACCGCCGGAACAGGTTCTTGAGTTGCTAGATTGGCCCCATTTGTGATCGAAGGGATCAATAATTGAGCAGAGTGATCTGTCAAAGCTGATGCAAGCTCCTGTGGTTCTGTCGCGAAAGATGTTGAACCCTGCAATACCCACAAAGCACGTCGATACCAGCGCACTGCCGATGCTAGATCACACGCCATAACGTAACACTCCCCAAGTGCTACCATCGCATTAGCATTACGGTTGTGAGAGAAAAAAATACACTCCTGGAGGGCAAGGATGCAGGGCTCAAATTCGCCATTTAGCAAGTGGGTGATGCCTTTGTTGTAAGCTTCACAAGCTCGCTCGAAAGCAATGCAATTTGCAACATTGATGGTCATGATGGTGATATATTATGAATCCCTTTCAACCATTGTCAAGGTAAGGGATAGATATAAAACTAAAGGTTAATACAATGATAATAACAGAAGCAAACGTTTAGCAAAGCATCTCATTTAGGATATAAGTACAGAAAGGAAACCAATTACGTCGTCATTATATTAGTCATTGATCTTTATCAAAGCATTTCAGAGAATGTTATAGCTTCCCCCACTTATTCGAATAATAAATACTTACGATTATAATTTAAAATGCACTCATTTTAGAGCCAAACTACAAACAATTACAACCTAGAGGTATTATATCATTCGTACACTAATTGTGTCATTCAGAATGCTCCATCAAACTAGCAGTATTCCAGTTACAATTAAAAGCAATGAACTGGAAGTGACCCTCAACGATGAGGTTTTAATGTCATTTATATTAATCCGTAATAATTAAATAAACAATGCTTGAACGTTGAAAAGAGACAACTCCTTATGACCCATGATAATTACAGCCTGAATATGGATACTGATAAAACTTAAATGGACTCTACTAATCTTAATAATTCACTCTGTAATGTTTTTTATTCAGTTGCTAAGGCGCAAAAAAGGGAAAAAAATCTGATCAATTTTTTACGCTATCCCCATTCGAAAATGCATGAGGTCAACGTGTCACCTTTAGCATTCATCTCATAGAACTTGTTAATACATGCTTTTGCGTTTTCACCTTCATCTTGCTGGGGTGCGCATGATGCCTGATTTTCCCATTCACAGATCTAGCCTTTGGACCCTTCGACGTGGTCTTGGGACTCAAAACAACGGAAGACTTTTCATTCCTAGGTTTTGCTTCTTTGTTTAATTTTTTATACCTTGTGACTTTACCTAGTTGGTCACCCTCAGGGGTAGTGATTTTTTCCCTATGTGTGTCGTTTACACCGGCACATAAATTTTGATCATCTTTCCTCGAACGACGAGATGCAGGTGCAGTCTGAGATGGACCAGGTGTACCCACACAGTCCTCCTTAGCAGAAACTATAGCCTCTGAAACAGCAGAGGGACTGCCTACACCATCACTTGTATCACTAGTCGAATGCATCCCACGAGAAGTCGATCGCAGACGCTTCGTACGTTTCTTAGATTTCTCTTGTTGCATTTGGAGATCCTCCAAGGAGCGTTCTTGTTTATTGGCCTTAGCGGACCCGACTTTTGCTGTTTTGGAACTCTCTTGAACGTTGATAAGGGACTGATTGTATTTCGTCTGTGTGTTGAGATCATACAAGAAGCAGTGTGTAGCGTTATCCTCTATAAGTGAACCAAAAGGAGTACACTTCTCAAGATCTGGATCGGGGCACTTGAGTCTTGAGTGAAGTGGATATGAGTCTGCAAAAAAGCTCACAGGTCCTGCTATCGGTGTAGTCGACATAATATCGGCTGTGATGGATACAATTTGAGTGCCGACATGCCCCGTAACCCCGTTCATCTTCAAAAGCTGGTATAGCTTACTGCACAGCGGATTAGATTCATGTAGAAAAAGAAGTGTTGTGCCGACATCCTCCTCAAGCTCTATGAGCTGTTGGCAGGCTTTGCTCAGCGCCTTGCTGTCAATGAAAGGGATCCGGAGGACGCCCTGGTAAGAAAAGTCAGCTTCACTATAGTCTACATTAATCTTGTCGGGATAAAAACAGCCAAGCACCGAATGTTCGTCGTTGACTGCTTGATGCAGCTGTGTTGGCAAGGCCTCGACGCTGAGTCGAGGCAGGACAGCAAGAAGCTGCTCCACGGGATGCAGCGGCGCGCTGATGTGCATCGTGACATCCACCTTAGAGGTAAAAGCCGCGAGATCCTGCAACAAGGGGGCGTAGTAAAAGGGATAATACCACTCCCAGGAAGGGCAGCCTTTGGTGTAATACCGCATCACCCACTGCGTGCCTCGAAGGTACTCGGCACAGCACCGGCGAATGTTCGACTCAAAGACCTCCCGGTCCGCATCTGAATCCCAGCCAAATTTGTGGTTATAATACTGATCCCGGTAGTTATCCGTGAGATAGGAAAAAGGCAGCGGTTGTGTATTGGAGACGAATCGGCTCTGCTCTTTCCGTGAACCGACAAGTATGCTAAGCAGTTTATCACTCACTTCCTGAGCGTTAGAGCGATCTGGTAGCAATGTATCTAGAACTTCCTCTGCCTTATACGCGCTCTGTTCGAGACGCTCTGACACATTTCGTTTAGCACGCTCTTTGCTTCGTAATACGGACCTGTATTCCTGTTGTAACTCCTTCATTCGTTTATCGACAAAGTTGCGCAAAAAAGTAGCAAGTCTATGGAAATACACCTCACCACCCTTCGTGAGATACGAGTGCTGGTTGAAATCGCGAACGTAGTGGTCCACCAATAATTCGATGCCTTTGGTCTTAATGGAGATTAGCGGGATGTGAGGCAAAAAATCGTTCCCGACAAAAAAACACAAAAAAATAAAGTCGTCTAGCACACGTTCAAACTTCATGTCCGGAATATTACTGAAATCCTTCATTAAAGCTTCGCGAAACTTAGAGAGGTTGAAATGGCAAAAACGAGTCATATCGCCACTAAAGGTCTCGGTGAGTTGGTTTCGGAAAATACTCACGTGCTGCTCATGAGTGGAAAGACCAAGACAAATCAAGTCCGCATCCATACCTTGGATAAGGTGTGTCGTGCGAGGGTGATAACCCGGTTGAGATCGCAAAGATCGAATGTACTGCATGATTTTGTGCTCTCCCTCGCCGGGTGTATGTGCATCGGAAAACACAACCGCCAAGTGTTTCCAGGCGATATCTTCGTTGATTTTTTTCATAATAAACCACTTGATCGCCACCCCCAACCTCTCCATGAAGGCAGTAGACGGGGTAATAACATTGTGATCCCAGCGCCCACGAACAAGTGGCCTCGGCAACTTGTATTTCATTTCAATCTCATCCGCCACCTCTTTCGAAATTTCATCGCTTTCTAAACGCTCCTCAGCGGCGCGGAAACGACGGCTGCGTTGCTGGTTCATCTTGCTTCGCGGAGCCACACCATCTATGCAGAGAATTAAACACTTGCGTGGTCGTGCTATCTTAACAAGAAGGTCAAGATGCTCAAAAATACGCTCAAACATCTCCTCCTCTGTTTCTGGCTCCGGCAGTGGATGTGTGTCATGGCAGCAAGGGTGAATAAGCCCATTCATGTCTACATAAAAATTGTCATACCGGTATCTGGCGTCACGCTTTCCTAGGAGTGATTTACCCTTAATCGCGGCATCGACGACTTCTTGCGGAACATCCTCAATGCAATTGGAATACCACCGCTGGAGCCATAAAAAGAAGCCCGCGATGCCCATTACGCTTTAAACGCTTCTATTGATGAGAACACTAAACACAATATTCATCTATAGGTTCAATTATGCAACCCAGTGGCAAAGATATGAAGATGGAATGCTTTCAGAAAAAGAAATGCAAAAATAAAAGAGAAAATGTCTACTCATATTGGTCTCATACCTCTCCTCAAGCGCATATAGTATGATAAATTTGAATTTTTTACCTTTACGTAAAACAGTCAAGGTCATTCTCGTGAACTGATTGGACACTTTGTTCCTTTTACTGTTTACGTAGCCCGAAAAATGAATTCTCTACATAGTATACAGAACACTCCTGATGAAAGAATACTTCGTCAGGTTACAGCTTACATGTATAAAAAAAAGCTTTGATTCCTCCATTCAACATATATAGAAATGGCATTCATAGCTATATGATCTTGTTTCACCTCCTTCAGTTGTATGTCTGCTTTGCGACGTCTTGTTGCACTTGTCAAGCTCAGAACTACTACAGACTGTAAATACCTTCGCGAAATGTTCCCTTAAAAACCGTTCCATCGGGGTAGGAGAGCGTACCCTCGCCATGAGGAATTCCGTTGATTTGATCCCCACAGTACACGCTGCCGCATGGGTATGCAATTTTGCAACATCCACTTGCAATCTTACCATCTTCCCATGAAGATTCTAAAACTTTACCATCTGGATTGATGAGACGCCCGCGTCCAAAGGGTTTGTTCTGAGCCCATTCCCCCTCGTATACACTGCCATCCTTTCTCACCTCAGTTCCATAGCCACAGCGAGACCCGCCTACCCAATCCCCCACGTAGCGCGTACCATCGGAGCAGGTGTACTTGACGATGCCATCCTGTGGTTTACCAAGATGCCACACACCGCATAGGACGTCCCCGTTGTCAAAGGTGAAAGTTCCCTTGCCTTGCTGTTTGCCGTCTAGCCAGGATCCTTCGTATTTTTCCTTTCCATACTTCTCGAAAACAGCAGTAGCATAGGCTTGTAGACGATTGTACAAAAAGACACCTATATAAGTAGCTCTCTCTTTAGCGTCGTAAAAGACACCATAACCGGCACGATGGTTAAAGCGCCAATCTCCCGTGTAAGTAGACCCATCCTTCGATTTTTGCGTACCGGACCCACTGCGCTCATCCTGTTCGAACTCCCCCTCATACACATCATCGCCCTCGGTGAGAATTCCCATCCCACAGCGCACACCAGATTTCCAGGATCCATCGTAAACCGCTCCGGTAGCATGGTAGTGCATCCTTCCCTTTCCATGCTGCTGGTCATTGCGCCATTCACCTTCGTAAACGTCACCGTTGTGGAACACGCATCGGCCACGACCCTCTCGCCCGCCAAGGATCCAATTCCATTCTCCAGTGTAGACGGTACCTTTAGGGAAGTGAAATTCACCATCGACATGGCCATCATCCAACCACTGGCCCTCAAAGCGAACCCCGTTGGCTAACTGAACCGTGCCAGCACCAATCGGACGGTCCATCTCCCAAGTATTCGTGTAAACGTTGCCAAGCTCGTTAGTAAAGATACCGGTACCATGGCGTAGCCCGTCTTGCCAACCACCCTTAAAGACCGTACCATCGGGATACCGTGCGTGGACGTTTGTATCGATAACATCGGCTTCCCAAGTCCCGTCCACGACGACACCGCTTGGATAGATCAGCGAACCATCGCCCTCGCGTAGCCCCTTAACCCACTGGCCTCGATAAAGAAGTGGACTATCTGACTGCAGAAGTAGTGACTCGCCGTGGCCGTGACGTCGGTCGTTGGACCATTCCCCGCGATACCAACTCCCGTCCTGCCGCAATAATACACCATAGCCATCCCGCAGCCCCTTAACCCACTCCCCAATGTAGATGCGATCAGACCACTGGTAAACCCCCAGGCCATGCTTTCGCCCAAGCTGCCACTCACCATGGTAGGCCTCCATGCGGCGCTCAGGGTCAAGGGTGATGAGATCCCAAAAAACCGTCGCGGCCTCCGTATTGGCAGTCGGAACCTCCTTGGGGGTGCTTTCGTTGGTCTTGAAGAAGGTTGAGGTCAGATTGATCGACCTCGCCGCCGCCACCACTGCTTCGATGCTTTGAATATTCGTCAGTGAAGAAAGAAAGGTATCATCCATATCGATCCCACCTAGTGTAGGATCTTGAGAGAGAGTCATTGCGGACCACGGCAAGTTATGCTGCTTTTGCACCATTTGCAATAAGGTGTGGTTTAGTGACGTAAAGGGACTAGATAACTTCGACCTGCACTCACCGTTTAGGAGTTTGTAGTATGCGATACCGCGGCCGTGTGGATAAAGGCCTTTCCATGCACCAGCATAAAATGTGCTATACATAAGATGCATCCCACCTTGAGTGTAGGTACCCACATTATCAATAGTGTTGTGGTAGTCAAAACTCTTTTCACTTTTATGCGTACTATCCATTGTTCTAAAACCATCCTCAATTGGTGTGATGGTCGTTGTAGCGGTTGCATTTTTCAACCGATGAACACTATCACTAAAATCCCTCTTTTCTCCCTTTATCACCTCAGCCCTCTCATTTCTGTCCGCTTGAGAGTTTTCGTCCATTCTAGCGCGTGCAAAGGACATCTGTGACGCTAAACCTTGTGCAGGAACATTATGGTCTTGTAAAGTAGCATGCATCGGTGGTGTGCGCTTGCTTTGAGAGTACCACGTACTATAGTACTCCTCTCTCAGATGAACTACAAGGCGAAAAAAGCTGCTGCCGCAGCCATTCAGGTAACTTACACACAGGTACAAGCAACGAATTGGTTTATGTCCTGGACTTGTATCCTGTTGACTGTTCAAAACAGCATGATCGCCAACAGAAGCCTTGGAAATATAACTATAATCCGTTGGATGAATTACCATCCGCTTCTTGCTTTCTGGTGATAATAGCTTCCACGAGGCAGTATTTCTAGATGGGTGTGGGTCAACAAAACTTAACAATAACTCACATTGACTGGTGAAGCTGAACTCTTGAAAGTCGATTGTAACGAGAACATCTTCGTCAATGGGAATAGCATAATATAAAGTTGGTCTGGTGGCGCAAACCCGAATATCGCACAGTTCTTTTTCAGGTAGAATAATGACCAAGTTATCTTGTGTGCTCCCTTTCAACAATAGATCTCTTGTTTTAGCATTATCCGCAGAAGTAACCATGATTGTCTCCCTATTGCATCTAGTAAAGTCCTATTAATGAACAGAAAATTGAAGGGAGTGAGATCTGAAGCTTTTCGACAATAGTTCTTCAATAGAGTCCTTATACTTCCACCATTTCAAGACTACATATATATGTATATTAATTATTTGGAGGGTGAATATACTTTAAGATAAATTAGTTTGAAAATAAAATGACCTGGAAATGCTGGTGTATATAATTGTTACAGACTGTGCTTTCAACTTGAATGTTAACCACATCATAGAACATGGGTAAATTAACAATTTTTGATGATCCTTTAGGCTTCTTCCTTTTAATAGATTAATAAAGCTATAGACTACACTTAGTCTTCTTGCTTTTTCTACACATATTTCATAGAATATTATGCACACATATTTGGTTCTAGGTTTATCACTGCACTAACACAAGAGTCTTGGGAGTGTGCGTGCATCTCATTGAAAGTCATCAATTAATAAGATTTCAAAGAGAAAAACAAGATAAAGATAGAAGATATGTAAATAAATCTCGCCTCCTAAAGCCTGCTGCTAAGTATACTTAAGAGGTAAAACTTTTTAGAATCAATCCTTGTTCAGTTCACCTGTTTATGACACTGCCATAGAATTATGATACTAATTCACAAGCACAGAATTAGAATGCATTTTCTTTTTTGAATCAATATATGATAAAACCCACAAGGGTAAACCAATAAAATAAATACTGAAGACTTACATATGCTTTAAGATGCAACATGTACTCTTTCCATCCTCGTTTGTTACAAACCATTTTTACAGCTTTAGACATTGTAATATCAACTTGCTGTGTGTGAATAATAACCTTAATGTCAGAAATCAACGGAGCCAGCAACGCTATAGTGAAAAGTAAGTACACTAAAAATATTATGTATATATATATATACTGGATAAACGAAAAATTCATCCCCTTCCTACCCAGTCATTCCCAATTGACAACATATTCGCTTTTCATTCCTTTTTTGAATTGTTAATCCTATATCATGAAGCACATGTCCCTGGAGCAGGGTTCTGAGTTCACTTTTTTAACTCTGGCAACGGAGGGTCTGGTGCTAACGGTTGAAGCCGAGTGGAATCCTTGAAAAATGCCGTCACTTGTGTCGCTTTGAGGGGAATTATTGTGAAGTAAATTCTCCCTAAGTTGTCTAGGCCCTGTTGTTGGGATTGTCGTTTCGTTCGCCAATGTATCCATTTTTAAATAATATTCATCACCACTCATGACAATTGGCGCGTTAGTATCCTTATGAGGATCTGCCACCTCAGGACCTTTTGCTTTATTTGTAGGAATTACCTTGCATGAAATCACTTCAGTGGAATCACTGCCTTTGACACACACACATAGTGAGAGTACACCTTTGGAATTCTCATCAGTTAGGTTGGAACTTTTAAAAGAGTGTGCGAATTCGCGCGTAGAATCCCCCTTATCCCCTGACAAATTAACGGATCTTGTATCGGGCGTTTTACATGTTTGACCAGAGCACGTGTGGAATTGCCCTCCTGCATCGGTACAGGAGACACTCGAAGGGGTGAAGCTGTGCTCGCGGGATTCTGAAATCGTCTTCAAAAAGACCCCACCACAATCATCACCCTTTCGACGCATAGTTGGATACAGGGATGGTGATGAAGTTACGGTGGAAGAAGCATCGTTGCTGGAGACAACCCGCTTCAGGTGGGTCTCGGAGGTAATTAAAGAACGACCCTTTGTCACGTTCCCTCCCTTTTGGTGTGGAGCGGACTTGGTGCTGAGAAAATGCGACTGGACTCTAGGCACAAATTCAGACTTGAACCGGTCTACTTTTTGCGTGCTGGATACCTTGCTGAGATTTGCAACCCCTGCGCCGCTAGAATTTTGGTTCTGAGCCTGTGGTACACCAGGGGAGGAGGTTGTTGATTGTATGCTCCTACTTATATTCTCTTTAAGATCAACGCTGATTTGGGTAGAATGGTTTGTGGTGACTCCATCATTGCAGTTCTGTTCTGATGCGCTGCTAGCGTCGCAGTTCAAAGGTAACGATAGAAACACCGATACCCCATCGGCTCCGGTTGTAGAAACGTTATCTACAACCAAGGAGAACTGTGAAGGCTTGAAAGTGTGAGCAAGACAATCCTCTGATGTCATAAGGCTTTTCCGAATATCCTTTTCACTATTCTGAGAAATCAACAAAGGAAGGCTGCTGGTTGAAGCACCATCATTCTTGGGATGCTCGCAAGGCCCAGGTGTGTGGAGCTTCGGGCGAGAGGGAAAGCACAACTGAGTATCCGGTTTCTCAAAAACCGACGATTTACACGCGCTATCTGAAGCCTGATTGTTATTAGTAGCCTCATTCCCCTGTTCATCACCCAATATGGTGCCGCTGTTTGATTGTGGTAGCAACCACGACCGTGTCCTGGAAATAGTTAATTGGCCGTCTGCAGATCCGTATTGGGAATTACTATTTTCGGGGCCGCGGACTTGTGGGTATTGACCAAACGATGCGGTTCCAGAACCATCGACATTCTTATCAGCGAAAAGTAGGGGTTCAGAATTTGCCACCACATGAGTTCTGTGAACATCATTCAATGAAGATGCATTAAACTGTGGTTTCTCTTCATTGGAGGACAATTTTTTGTTGACTATGGAATGGGAACTAGAAATAGGTGTGAATAATGGACTATCCAACCTTTTCGAAAGTGATGATGACGAAAATGTTCTAGCAATCAACGGTGACAAAAGGGGGGTACTCAAACCCACTAACTGAGCATTCTTCACTAAAATATGGAGTCGCAAAATCAACTGAAACAGGTAAGATACTTGCTCGGAATTTTTGACCGAGAGTTCAAATATGGGTAGCCGATCCAATGTCCATGTCGGAAGGGAAGTAAGAGGATTAGAATTTAACCCGTCGAATGGTAGAAAAGATGATAGTGGGTAATTGCCAAGCTCGTTGGAATTACCTCGATTAGATAATAGTGGTGACAATTCCTTACACGAACCATTGGTTGTCTTTGGCTTATCAACCCCTTTTCGATTTTTGAAAATATTCTTAAACATACGCTGAAATGTGTTGTTCTTCTTTTTCTTGCTATTCGATTCATCACTATTAGGAAGTGATCCAAAAGGGAACCCTACAGACCTAAGGCAATGTTCCGACACAAGCTCTACAAGCTCGTGATCCACATGCTCGGGGGCCCATGATAGGTCTGAATCAGTACTTTTGGTGTACGAAGAAACTAAGTCTAAATGGGTGCCTACTAAAAAAATAGGTACCTCTTTACGATATCGAGAAGTAGAGATGGTGGGTCTTTCGGCGGCGTCTTGTTGTATCTCCGTACTAGACCCTAATTTCATCATGAAGTTTTCAAAGCCACTGCGCCGCACCTTAATAACCTCATCCGCATGCTTTTTAAGATTCAGCAGCGAATCCTTAATAACAACAGAATATACAAGTACAATGACATCCGCCATCTCGATATAAGGCGAGCGGTGAAGTGCGAAGGCGCTCTCCGAAGATGTGTCGATGACTTCAACGGTGTAAGTCTGTCCATCAACGTCATCTTGAAAAGTGATGCCGTCCAAGAGAGTGGGAGTGTAGCATTCAATAAAGACACCATCAATAAGCTGACTTACTAAAGAAGTCTTTCCTACCTTTGCATCTCCAAGTAAAACAACACGGCATGGATCTTTATGAAGAATGCAATCAGTTAACATTTTCGTGTTACTAACGTTTTGTTACACTGTCCTTTAAATTGAGTTTTATAACAGATGTGTTTTCCTGTTGTTGGACGATTAATTGTCGTATTTATTTCTGCAATTTGTACGCAAAACCTCTGCGAGTAAGAGAAAACAACCTAATACTCGAACTTTATTCGGAAAATCAAGGTTATCGATCAGTAAGTGCATATATACATCAATAAAAGAAGTCTCGTATGATTAGTTTATCTATATGTCGAAAAGGAAAATAAAACTAACCAAACGAATTCACAGTAACAAAAGAAAAACTTCACAAATAAGTGAAAGGACAAAACCACGAAATAAATTACAACAAAAAGAGGGTAAATATATATATCCCTCCCCCTTTCGGAAAAAAAATTCTTCAAATGACAAATTCAGATGAAAACACTAGTCTTAATGAGTAAGGTAGATAACGCTTAGATGAGTTTCTTATGTTTTTTGAATAAAAAATAGGAAACTGATAAGAATAAGATATGCATAGAGAAGCTTAGTTAAAGAGCATTATCAATAGAGAAGAGAAGTATGATATGAAACGATGAAACAATAGAGAGGAAAATGAACATGGAAAAATATATATCAATATCATCTTATTCTACTCAATACCAGTTCGCTCACCTTTGTTTTTTGGGGGTGAAATTTGCATACAATCATGCATGATACATAAATTAAAATGAAACGACTGATTTTTAAATGACACTGTTATTACGCACTAACGTTTATCACATTGCTTGCAGTGAAATTATATATAAATATATATTTATTTATTTATATACTGTAAAATAAAAGCAATATTGAAATACAATCAAAAATGCATCTGTGTAAGACGCAGTCTTTTTGATTACTTTTTGCGTACGACTTATCAATCCATGGTTCTAAAGTTTATTTCAAGATCATCCTTACAGGCTTCAAAATGGAAAGAAGCAAAAATCGTAACCAAACACGCTCTCGTGCTTCACATGAAAAAAAGTTATATTAGAAGATAAACGAGAAGGTACCATTCAGCTTCAAGATTCGTAAACCCGTGTCTTGTAGTGCCAATTTCGCTAGGCACACCAAAAAGGTCTCCAAGTACGTTATGCTATTCCAGTTTCTCTGTAAATGAGTCATCATCCGCTTCCGAAGCCTAACAACCAAGTTCGCCCATGTGTATTGAACTCCCTTCACAGAAAACGTTCGTCAGGTTAATACACGACAGCACGGCATCCAGTCTGGGAATTTCCTTGTCGGATATGGCCTACTGCACGCCTGGTGAGTGATAAATGTCGTTGTCATTGTGAATATTAGCGGCATAATAAGCGAGGTGTATGCATTGCTCCTCATGAACCCCCCCCCCTCTCCTTCTCTCCTTCCCTCACTCAGGCCAATGCCCCCATCGCAACTGTTCTAGACTCCCAATAGCAGCCAAAAGGTACTTTTTTTTGAAGAGCCCCATAAGGATTTGCGACACCTGCCAATGCGGTCGGGACAGACAAAGTGGCGTAGCGAGCTGCATATTCAGAGCATTTCAGCTTGCAGCATGAAGTACCGCTATCCGTGATTTCAGCTCTCATTACAGGAATTTTCTTCATGAGGTAGTTATGAGATCAAGTAGTTGCCATTTAATGCATCCAACACCTTTTTCATATAGCTTTCACACCCATCCAACCTCAGGGTTTCGCTCAGCTATTAAATTCTTAATCTGTTTTAAAACAGCGTGTTTGGCTAATTATTCTTGGAAAGATGTCTGTGCCAAAAATGTGCAATGCATTATTGAACAAATATTTGCAATTTAGTAATCGAGTCCTTTGTGAGTGAATATGCTAAAGCATTTTAAGCTAGCATATAGAGATGTATTCATATTTGTATTGGTTTATTACCTTTCGAAGGTAGAAGGAGTCCAAAGAATATTGCTCGAAAGACTTTAAAATTCATCTAATTTTCCTCATGCTTGGAATATAAAAATAGTTTTATAAAAAATGAAAAATTAGTGCTACGCGTATTTCACTGATTTATTTTCCAGTATTAATAATAACATTAACCGTGTCTTATAGTATTATATTTTAGAAATAATGCATTCAAATGTAATCGCACCAGTGCCTCAAAATGGTGAATAAAATAACTACCATGCATTCCTTTCTCAATCCCACTCACCGCTAATATTTTTGTTCCGATTACTTATCGTAGCTAACCCAACTGCATGGCGTTTGATGTCTTTCGATTTCCTTATATTGTTATTTTCACGACGAAGCTTTTTGCTTAAGTGCGCTGCTGATTGTGAAAGGTCGATTTTTATAGGCGGCGGCTCACTCAAGGCAAACCCACGCGCCACTTCAGCTAAATCGAGATTTTGCACGTTAAACACATTCTTAAGCTGACTGCTGCTGTAGCTGAGCAAGTACCCCTCGTAGGCCTGTCGCGCCGAGGTGCGTAGATAGTAATTGGAAGACACCAACTTCTCAAGTTGGTCTTGAACATTACTGTTGAGTTTAGAAATATCGAACGTGTATTCGTTTACGGAAACATGGGTGTCGTTGTAGAGGTATTTGAGAAAAAGATTCTCCTGGGGTAATAAAAACATCAGTGCATTACCACAGCGTCCAGCACGGGCCGTACGACCGACACGGTGAATATACTTCACCGGATCATCCGGTGGGTCAAACTGCACGATCCAATCGACGGCAGGAATATCCAAGCCGCGTGCGGCCACATCCGTCGTGAAGAGTACCCCACTTTCGGCATTGCAAAACTGCATGTAAGTTGCTGAGCGTTGGTGCTGCTTTTGTTTGCCGTGGAAAGCAATACATGGGACGTCGATATAGTTAAAAAGCTCGCAATGAAAACTAACACTATTACGACTACTAAAGAACACAATCATCTTCTTCTTGAGATTACGTTTCACAAAGTGGTAGAGAACGAGCAGTCGTTTGGTACTTTCACAAATCACGTAGCCCTGTTCGAGTGTCTCCACCGTGGCCTTGTCTTTTTTTGATTTCATGGAGATAAAAACGGGCTTTTTCTGAAACGAGATCCGCGCAAGCTGCTCAACACGCGTGGTCTGTGTAGCGGAAAAAAGGAAAGTTTGGCGTTGTTGAGGAAGGAGCGACACAATCTCGCGCATATCTTCCTCAAACCCGTTGTCGAGCACGCGATCCGCCTCATCCACTGCGAGTATGAGGAGATTGTTGGTGTGCCAATCATCTGTCAGTTTTAGTTGATCCAGTAGACGCCCAGGAGACGCTACGACAATCATCACGCCATTCACAAGTTTAAAGCTCTCTTGCTTCCGGTTTTGCCCCCCAATGCAACATAAAAATGTAATGGATCCATTGAAATATTTAAGGAGCTTGAGCAGAACGCCCTCAATCTGCAAACAGAGTTCACGCGTTGGACCGATAATTATCGCCGCGGTGCCGTTGCTTGGCCGGAACCCTGCACGCGTGATAATTTCTACAATGGGTATGAGAAATGCCAGCGTCTTACCTGCGCCTGTCTTGGCCTCGGCAAGTAAGTCCTTCCCTTGTAGCGCGGCGGGGATACAGCGGGCCTGAATTCCTGTTAGTGAGGTAAACTTCATATCATTTTCCAAAGCCGAGACAATGTGAGGGTTCAGACGAAGCTGCTTGTAATCGGTGCTAACCGAGTCCATCTTCTCAACGCTGTATGCTGAACTCATCGCAGCGGCAACCGCGGCCTTCCTGAAGGCCTCACCGTTAGCATCTGATTCTATACCCCTTCTAACTCGCTTGCTTTCTCGTTGATCGCCAATCTTGCCCACCTCGCCGTAGGAGCTGATATCATCCAATTCCTTTCGCTCGTGTGTTTTCCCTCCCTTATCCCTTTTGCGAAGTTCCTTCTCTGGACCATGGTTTGCTCTTCGGGTTGGCTCACAGATTGAGTCATCGTAACTAGAGCAGGGAAGTGCTGACAAGGAAGAACTAGAATTTTCTTTGGTGGTAGCGGTGTGAAGCTGATTTGAACTATCCAATTTACGATTTCGCTTTATGAGAGCAGGGGGTTCCCCAGCGTCATTTGTAGTTGATTGAACAGTGAAGGACTCTGGAAGAGGATTCCCGCATTCCTCATCTTGAGATGCATCAACCGGCCGCTTCCCCTTATTAGTGCGGTGATGGCGCAGACGCTTTCGATGTGTAGATGTTGGCTCCTCGAGGTTAGATCTATTGCCCTCAAGAAAATCTGATTTAAGAACATTTCCCTGTTTTTCTGTTTCGGACATCACGAAACCAAACTTAAAAGACTAAATATCGATAAGAAACGATCAAGGACAGGTAACAATCCCAGTGACAAAGAAGATAATAAGAAATGTAGATATAAACCTCAATAAATAAATGAACAGAAGTGCATCAACCCTTCTAGGTATTTTGGTTTCGATTAAAAATCACATCCGCGTCTTTACTTCAAGAACCCTGCGAAAGTTCTCAACGTAAAGCGCAAATAGACTCTTTATCTTGAATTTTGCATTTAAGCGCATTATTAAGTTAAATAGTGAGAACCTCCCTTTACACAACAATGTTGCGCGCTTGCCAGGAGAAAAAGAACGGAACAAGTGAAGTGAGTTTTACCTTTCTATCCTCCCTCACGTCGCTTTGTGTTGAAACCCTGTGACCATTTCACATGCTGGGAAACATAATCACTTCTTGCTGGCCTTTTTTGCTTCCCGTCGCTTTGCCCAAAGAGACTTGTGTTGATCCTTCTTTGTTATCTCGAAAACCGTCTCGTTATCTCGCCGGTAGCGCAACGTCCCAAAGTCTGACTTCCCATGTTTGGTATCATCGTACCCCATGTCGTCATCCCCTCGCTCTCGTTTTGCGATTCGCACGTTTGTAATGTGATTCGACTCCTTCGCAAGCTTTTCCTCGCTGGTCTCATCCCGCATCTGGCGCACCGCCTCCTGTTCGGCCTCTTCGACGCGCTGCAGGGCGCCATGCACCACGGCCTCATTTATGGTATATTCCACACATTTCACACCTGTCTGCTGCTCAATCTTTTGCAGTAGTACAATGTCGTATTGGCTCATCAAGTTTACCGCCTTTCCTTCGGCACCGGCACGGGCGGTACGGCCCACACGATGAATGTAATCCTCGACGCGATCAGGAAGTGAGTAATTAATCACAATATCCGTGTTTGGGATATCTAAACCACGTTGGGCGACGTCAGTACACACTAAAATTCGCACCTTTCCCTCTTTAAACTTTGAAAGGGCGATGTTGCGGTTGGTTTGGTTCATGCGGCCCATTAAGGGCAGAGAGCGGTGGCCAAGAATACGCAAGGTCAGGGTAATTTTATGCACCAAAGCCGCACTTCGACAAAAGACCAAGATGTGATTTCCCGTTTCCTTGGTAAGGTATATGTGAAGATAGGGAAGCATTTGGGTAAAGGGAACAAAAATGTAGTACTGCTTGAGGGTTTCGACTGTTGTGTTTTTTCGATGCACTTGGACCAATACCGGATCGCGCAAAGAAGCCTTTTGAAGTCTGTCAATCTTGGTGCTCAACGTGGCTGAGAAAAGCAAACTTTGACGTTCAATAGGCAAATACTCCAAAATCGCATCGATCTCCTTTTCATAGTCCATGTCAAGCATCTTATCCGCTTCATCCAGGACGAGAGCGTGGAGCTTGACTAACTTGAACCCTTTCGTGTTGCTTAGGTGGTCCTTCACACGACCTGGAGTCCCAACAATGACGTGAGGCCGTTTACTGAGCTCACAGGCTTGGTCCACCATGTCCGCACCACCCACCAACGTCGAAACCCTCAGGCCCACGCTTTTGCCCAGCATAAGAAACTGTGAGGTAACCTGCTGGGCAAGCTCACGGGTGGGAACCATCACTAAAACTGAAAGATAAGGCACTTTCTGCTGCGTGAGCAACCACTGCACAAGAGGCAGGACGTATGCACCGGTCTTCCCACTGCCGGTTTGGGCCATGCCGATGATATCGCGCCCTTCCGCTACGACAGGGATCACCGCGGTTTGAATACGAGTTGGGTACTTCCATTCCGCCTCCGTACAGGCCTCGCAAAGCTCCTCACACAGGTCCAAGTCTGCAAAGCTCCTCTGCGTGTTCTCCTCGTCGGCGAGCAGCTCCGAGCCAAGGCTCGCCTTCGAGGGAAGAACACGCATCTTTAGGGACTCATCGCATTCGGCGACATCGGTGTGGGTGGCCTTGAGTGTCCGATTCCGTGCTTCTTTCACTTTTGCCATTTAACCCTACATTGAACAAGCGACAAAGAAAGAGAGAAGAAAGAAAAAGTGTAAAGGTTTCATAATGCGGTGCACATTTGTCTTATAGGGGACAAGATATTACCAAAAAATAATCATAAAAATAAGTAAATGTAAAAGGAAGACGTAAGAAATACTCGTGTAGGAATCTTCATCTTCTCAAATCGTTTTAGCCACCTACTCATAGCGCGCATTGCCCATAAACATGATTGTGTGTATTTTCCGAACAGCAGCAAGCAGAGCTAAATGCATGTAAAGAGCATCGTGTGCAAACGATAAAAGTTTCACTCATCCTGTTATCTTCACCTCTAGTGAAGCAAGTAATTTCGCTTCACGTGTGATGGAAGTTTCAAATCTAAATTGGGATCCTCCACTGGCAATGAGCCCAAGTCGTTGTAAGTTTTACCAAGCTTCTTTAGAAGATCAGCAAGTGTGCGGCGGTTGGACTGCCGGGACCTCAAAGCATTTCTTGTCGTACTGGATGCGGCCTCGACCCTGGCCCGAAGCTCGTCGCCGCGAAGACCCATCTTTGGCTCGTTTAGATGTTCTTTGTTACCGGCAAAAAAATCCTTCCAGTAAACATCGTCATAATAGCCCTTCTTGAGGTGGTCTGGCATTCGATTATCAATCACACGATCCGGCATAAAGATACCGTCCTTGCCGGGTGGATGCATAGCCATCATGCCTTTACGGCGGCGAATCTCTTCTAAATAAGGATAAATGTTATAAATAAGGGAATGCGGGACCTTTCCACGGCTCGCAGCAATCTCGCTAATACTTCGGAGAGCCTTCACGGCTTCGAAGACAGCCTCCACTGTATGTGTAGGGGACTTCGGGGAGCTGACTGCACGGTTATTTATGCGGCATCCTGCATGCTGGAAGCCAAATGCGCACAAAATATCCGCAACGCGAAAGTTAGCGACGATACGCTTTGCAGGATAAAGTATTACCCGCGAGCCATCCGCATTAATGCGGACAGGGTACATCGGACCCTCCTGTTCCAGGTCAACAGCTATAATGTTCGAAAATGCCTCACGAATGGCTTCGTTCCGCGACTCCTGAGTACTAGGAGCGACCGCACGTCCCCAACCAGCGATTCCCTTTCCGGTGCCCACATACAGAACGCAGTAAATCCACTGACGGTGATCTGTTGGGCTAAATTTTACTACACGCATGTCATAAGCGACAATGTTAAGCTGGAAGTTGCACAAAAACCTCCCTCGGTGTTCCATCGGGATGAGCTCTGGCGTCATCCAGGTATTGGAGCGCCACTGGTTGTACTCAGTGTTAAGTTTATGCTTCCATTGAAAGCCCTCAGGGTACAAATCGGGAACGATGCGATATTCGTTGTAGAGGTCTATACCATTGTCCATACCCTTGAGGCCTTTGCTATCTGCCGCGTGTGCGACTGCTTCAGCTGAGTCACGCGTGTCGCGGAAATAGAGTGAAGTTCCTGTTTCGAGATCTACAAATGGGTTTCGCATCTTTTCAAATCGTCTACGTGTGATACTACCGGGCTTCATCCAGGGGTAATATACACGGGGAACACCACCCCGCATTGTGCCCTTGGTCGCAAACGAGGTAAGATTCCTCAACACTATAATCGTTGGGTAAAGCATCCCCACAATTGTCTGTTTCGGTTGAGGTTAGAATACAAAAAGTTCTTCCCGTGTTTGCTCCTGAAATTGGATATACCGTGTAAAAGTTCCTTCTGCCAACGCGTTTTTGTGCTACCAGCTCCGGGGAGATAATCAAATGCTGTGATGTAACCGATACCTAAACTGGTGACAAGCAGCTACAGAAAATTGCAATGCTGAAACCTTACAAGGTAAATAAAAAGTGAAAGAAAAATACATATAAGCCATGAAATTGTCACAATAGCAAACAGCACGTAAGACATGCGTAATGCTTAGATATATTTAGTAATGGACTAATTAAAATCGCATGTGGCCACCTTATTTTCTTTCGTTTCGCTTCGTATGCCAACAGAGGGCAGATCCATTAAGTTATATTTTTATTACTCAATTTAGCAATCCAGTTAGACACCTTTTTGGTTGTTTGGCATCGTTCAGTGGAAGCAAACCAAAAATCGAAAAGGAGCAAGCCAACTCGATTAGGCACTCACCTCATGGTTTGCTTCTTCGCGAAGTCTCTTAAGGTTATCCTTCTTTTCTGCTTTTAATGCAGCTGGCAACGGTGGGTGAGGCTTCCACTTTCCTAAAGAAGGGTCGTACTCCTCCAGAATTTCATAAGGACCGAGTGCATCCAGTTGCTTGGTCACGACATGAGCCTGACCATTCTGTGACTTACCAACACGATAATAATGCTTGCAAAAAGTCTCTGCTAGCTGCCGCAATGTCGGATGGTAACTACGAGTTAAGCCGCTTAACTCCCAGGTAAAGCTCGCATCTGCGTTCGAGGAAGCGGTCTGTAAGGCTTCTGGATTATATACACCGCGCCCCGCTATAACATTATCGCTGCCGCCAAGAATAATTCCAGATGCAAGTGGATAACGCAGCAAGATACGATGAACCAACGCCAAGAGTGCCATACTCGCGTGGGGAGGACAAGAAGGAATAAATTGCACCAGCCGCCGCACAAATGCGGTGATCCGAACGATGGCTAGATGCTTCTGCGAAAGCACTAGCATATCCACAGCACGTAGCACCAGGTTCACGTGAAATGTCCACTCTTTAGCGGCATTTGCCTGCACGAGACTGTTGTCATGGACCATAGAATTCGCAACAGAAAAAGCCACCGACGAAAGGCTCCCACGTGAGGATACCTCATCCTCATCCCCTCGGCTACACTCTTCGTCCTCGTCCTTGAGATCACGAGACATCTTGGCCCGTTCTGCACCCTCGGCCCCGGGAATGTTCAGCGCCTCGCGCAGACAACGAAAAAGAACTTCGTGAAAGTAGCTAAGGTCTACGCTCCACTCCGATGAGGTTGCCGTTGCATCCTTTTTGGCTAAGGCAGCGGCAGCGACGAGCGCATGTAGCTTTGTCGTAACCGATGTTTCGTCATCACAAACGAGATCCTTAAGTGCTTGCATGAGCTTCTGATACAGCTCAACATTAATAAGTGGCGCGAACTTAAGCAGGCCCTCTAGGGTAGGGGCCAAGATCTTGGTTCGGTGAACCGGCGAACAAGCCTTAGAGGCCTCCAATACACGCAAGTAGATTACAAAAACACGATGAATGATACGAATCTGCTTCACTGCAAGCTCTGATCGATCGCGCCGGGCCTTCGCTTTTTGCATTTGCCGCGCTAACTCCTTGTCCTCTTTCTTCAGACGTTTATTCTTGACCTTTTCCTCGGTAAAGTCGGAGCGATGCATATCCACCATCGCCACACGGACATGCAATAGGACATTGAGCAGCTTAGGGTTCATGGCGTAACTCTTCTTTCGGACGATAGCTAACAACGCTGCCACCACGTGTTCGGTCACATCGGAAACCATTTGACCACCGAGCAATTCAAAAAGTGCGTTCATACAGGGCTGTGCAACACGAGTAGACTTACTATTCGCAAAATTAACAGCCAATATTAAAAGTGTTTCGCTATGATTGAACTCTGGGGCCGCAGAACCCACTAAACGGGCACACAGACGACTACCAAGCGCCTGCTGCTCAGGGTGGGATTTCTTGCTGAGTTTACGAAGTAACTGCAAAAAGTGCTCATATTGTGTCAACAACTCATGTTCTAGTCGCTGAATATTATACACCTCTTTTTGTTTCCTCTGATCGGTCTGACCATCTTCCTGCTCCAAGGTCGCAGAAATGCGATAGTTGGGAATAAGATCGCAAAGGATAGAACACTCTTCGTTGAGATTCTGCACAAGCGCTGCATAATCCGTGACAGCGTGGTTGTGAAGTTGGTACAGTGTCTTAATGCGGCCCTGTAAGTAGGACGTATTCATGAAGTAACGCTTCATTGAGAAGGATCTAACTATCAAGGGTTATAAATTTGATCTTCCTTTAAAGTGGTCCACTAAAAAGACAGAACGAAGAATAGTGAAGAAATAAAAACATTGTTGTGATTATACTTTGTATAACATAAATTATTCCTATGCTTTTCTCAAGAGCATAGTGATATAGAATTCATATCGCTACCGTTAGATGTGTCCATTTAGTCAGTTCGTGAACAGAAGTGAACTGAAATGTAAACTCTAGTACTTTATAAAACACTTCACCAGAAAGGAGATTTAACTCTCATTAGATACAAACTTCCTTATTAAAGGATAAAAAGCATCATAATGAAAAAGAAAACAAGTTTCCACTAATTGGATACCTTACAATTGTATTTGGATCTATTTTTTTTTCCTGATATGGAATATTGAAAAAAATATAGTGGAAATCTATTGAAAGGGTAATAATTCATAAAACGTGAATCTATAAAATATATACTTCTTTTACCTCCATATTTTGGACTTAAAAATCGTGCCATTGTTTGGTAATCTACACTTGACCATAGGCGCCCATGAAATTCTGTCCTCCTGTCAGCTTCCATAAGCTACAGCTTAAGTGAAGATTTATATTAGGATCAAGAAGAACTAAAATAATAAAAAAGATACAGTCTGTTGCATAAATCAAATAAATGACCTTGTTTATATGCCACAGATGATTTTTACCCATTACCATCTTCTCTTTCCATGTTTCTACTTATTTCTGGCGCTTTAGAATAGCTCCATCGAGTATTGTGGATCTGCCGCATAAGTCGGCATAGGCGCCGAGCTCATTTCAGTCCACCAAGCTACACTACTCCTAGCGTTACTCGTTTCTTCACTCTCAAATGCACCACTCCCTTGTATCCTGCTTTTACCTTTGAGTGAAAGACGCGTATCGCTAGGATAGTTGGTACCCAGCACTTGGCGCAGCTCCTGTACGGCAGTGTCATTTTTCTGCTCTACAAAACAGGTCGGAATCACTAACTGACCAAAAGGCGTAGTTGGTGGCAAATTCTCTGAAATGACGCTGTGATAGGGTGAAGAACTTGGGGGAACATTCTCTGCTTCCTCTGGTGAAAAATCTGCCCCTGACGTTCTGTGAGGATGAACTGCATCGGAAGCCTGCTGTTTTTCAACCAGGGAATCCATGTTATTTTTTTGTCGTTGCATGTAGCGAAGATCCTGCAATGCTGAACTGACATTCTCTTGATTAACTTGGTTTTGTTTCAGGAAAAAGTTCACGCCACGATACTGATTTGAGGGCGTCTGCAATGATATAGAATCGTCTTGCGGCCCTTGCTCCACACGCACCCGTTTGGCGAAGAGGTTCTCACTGACGGCAGTGATGGGACCTTCACCATCCACAACCTCACCCTCTAAGCCTTCTTCCCCATACCCATGCAGGTCGCTTTTGTCATACTGACGATTAAACAGCTTCGGTTTGGATGTGGTACCACGACCGTGGAGAGGCTTCCCGGTTCGGCGTATCTGTGTGGTTTCCACCATGTGCACAGGCGCTACGAGGTTGAGCCCTGGAGCCGGGGTCGAGATCTGGTGAGGCTCAGCATAATTATTAGTCCGTCCTTCTACGGTGAGGTGGTGGTGTTGAAGACCCGACGAAGAGGTAAAAGAAGCCTTTTTCAAAGGTTTTTCTTGGTATGAAGCCGTATAATTCTCCATTTGTTGAACCACCATATTTTGTTCGAGTTGCTCAAGTTGCTGGAGCTCATGGCGTAGAGAATCCATGGCCTGGTGTGTACGTAGGTACTCCAGCACCATTCCAGAGGGCAACACCACACCATCGCAACTGTCGGCCAAAACGGTAGCCTGCAGCTGGGGCGGGTTTACCTCATCGATGGGAGTGACGTCACCATGATCCTCCTCGCTGAGACCTGATTCCACCCATTCAGAGCCTCGATCATCAACATTATTCTCAACTGGTGCTGATAACCATTTATTGGACGCCTTTGGATACATTTTAGACGCCACAGTATTGTCAAACTGAATCGGCGACGTTGCGAGGCTTTTCATAAAAGGGGCGTTCACAGCCTTATCATAGGTGCGTACCGTCCGCCTGGGTGGAGTGCGCATGTCTGATTGATGAAAGTGAAGCCCCGGCGATGTGCCAACAGAGCGGCTGACAGGACGATGAGTGTCAAGTTCAACGGCCTGATTTAGACTTGGATGTGTGCTGACAGTGTAGTGTTGAGTGGTTGTGGTGGTAGCGCCAGTATTCGTATCGACCATCCTTTCGTGCGTTTGCGACGACATAGTAATGTGGTTTAATTTGGTATTAGTGGCAGATTTAGCTGCTAATTGTCTATCCTCATTATTATTCACAGAACACGGTGGAATTCTAACAATATCACTCGAACCTTTTGCGCTTAGTGCAGAACGGCGATCGACAACATCAGCGGTATCCTGAGGTAAGAGCGATCCATGTTTGGCATTGTTTTGTGTGCTGCCCACAGTACTGGACATGGGAGCAGAAAAAGGTAGCGAGGTACCACCGTTGTGTGTGACATATCCATCCCCCTCCTCACTGTCTTCGTAATTTGCACCTTCATCGGGAAAGTTATTAAAAACGCTGTCGTCCACGGCATTATACAATTCATTGAGGTTTGCTACACTTTCGTTAGGCAATGGAACAGTTGCATTGGTCCTCACATCCTCCTGCCACACACTAGCCTCCTTTAGGTCTTGGGGTGCATCTATATCCCCCTGGTCTTCTAGTTCATCAACAGGTGGTACTGGGTCTCCATTTACAGATGCGATGGTACGACGCACTTTTCGATGCAGACGATGAACAAGGTGGAAAAAGGCAATATTTTCCATTTTCACAGCAAGGGCCAGTTTTTCAATGCGAGACTGCTGGGAGGATAGGAGTTTAACGGCTTTTGTAACACTGTTGTCAAACTGCATACGATCTTGGACTGTTTCAGCCTCGATCTCGACCCGTGACGCATCCCCTTCTCCACGCTCCCGAATCACTACGATGAGCTGCACGCAAATGTAAACAAGGCAAATAAACTTCCCAGGCAAATGATCTGACTGCTTCATCCAGTGAGAAATCATATAGAGCACAACACGCGCTAAGGGAGGGCTGCGTTTCATAGCTTCGTACATCATAACTGAAAAAAGGTGGCCTGTTATTTCACCACCATAGAGCGCGACCGCCTCCGTTGGATTAGCAATGCGAAAGCGCCTCGACATACTCTTCGCTAGTGTTACCATCAACGCAGTTCGCGCAGGAGCAGATGTCCTCATTTGATGTAAGAAAAAGGACCAGAACGTGCTGCCTGCACCCACAGGTAGCGCAAACTCGTTGAGGGAATCCAGGCCAATTGGCACAAACCCGAAAGAAGAAAGTAATGCACTAACGATGTTCGGCGCCTGCATATTAAAGTCCTGAATTAACCTGCACACACAACACCCTACGAGTTTTTTGGTTTCTGCGCTGAAGTTGTGTGCACGATCTAGCAGCTTCAACAACATCTGAGCATTGTCTGCACACTTAGCGCTCGTCGGTGCGCATCCAGGGAAGTCAATACAATAGTTATTTTCCTGTGGGTCTGTCGGTAAGAGATCAACATTTTCCTTACAATTCCGTAGCAAAACATTACACATATACCATAGTGCAAGAGCATCATGATTGTTATTGAGTTTAAGTTCAGAGAATACTTTGAGGATGCTTTCCAAATAGGAGGCATCAATTGTTGATGAAAGAAGTGTCACAAGCTTCACATGCAACATTAAAACATTAGCCTTGTGCTCGCTGGAAATTCGGTTTCGAGTACGTTCCGTACTTACCAAGGCTAGAAGTGTGGTGCGAATATACGGTTCCAACACTACAAATAGAGAATTACGATGCTGTCCAGCGTTAGAGATAATGTGGTAAATCAAAAAGTGCACAGCACTATTCATTTGAGTAGTGGGGTCACGCATATACTGAATGAGCCTTTCCACAAGCACCTTAGAACCCGCACATTCCGCGAGAGTAGAAAGCACACGACTGACGGAGGTCTGCCCAACCACATGCACAGTTCCGTTCACAGGGCAAATCAAGGAAGCACTGCGTTGCATACCGCAATAATGGCACTGTGTCGACACATCAGTGAAATACTCTACAGAGGACTCGACCGCCTCAATTATGTGTTCATAATGCAATACCATCGCCAACTCCGCGCAAAGCAACTGTGGGTCGACTAGGATATCACAATGTCCCTCAAAGGCTTCAGTGGATAACTTGCCAAGGGCCTCAATTGATTGGATAGGTACAGCAATTCGAAGAGCTTTGAGCATGTCTATTGCACGTCGGGAATCGGTCACTGAGCATGTGCGAACGACTTCGCGCAACACGAAAAGAACGTTGTAGACGTTTGCTCGACTTCGGTTAATGGTTGTGGCCACCTCATCAGAAACCTCGTGCCCGGTCATGGCTAGTCCTGCCCCACGAGAGAGTGCAATAACCACCTTGGCAAACATTGATACCGACATATGCATGTCAATTGCAAGCGCAGACATGAAGTAGGCCGCATGCGGCATTTGACTGTCAATGAGTGTCACGATTTCAATAGCACCATCGATTTCGTCGTCTAACCTGCTCTGTAATAGCGCACAGATACACATATAAAATGGATTGGTGGTGTTCAGCCCATAGGTGCACATCGGCAAAAGCTCTTCGAAGAGGTGTCGTCTCGTCGTTTTAATATCTAGGAAGCCAACCATGTCGGGGTGACATAGGCTTGGGTAAAGAAACCGTTCAACGTATTCTCGGCGAATGGGAGAGCGAAAGCGTAAGAAGAGTTCACTGCAATGAATTGAAAGTGCACGACCAAAAGTAGGACCGTTAGCCGGGTCCGTCACTGCACGCTTCAAGCGCTCATAACAAGCTAATAAGAAATCTAAATTCATGATGGTCGGCTTCGTCTTGAGAACATACTGTAGGGCTGTAACTTGCTCATCAATTCGAACCTGGTCAACAGTTTTTACTAGTAGTGCCAACGCACGATTCGCAACGAGAGGAGACAACGCATTACAATAACCTCTCAACTCATCCTGAAACTGGAACGTAATGTCCACAGGTAGAATGTCGAACTCCAGTAAGCTACAAGCCATTGTGGCGAACGCACGGTACTGCTGAGGAGGGAGAAGCACTACACAATGGGCGCCACCGCGGCAAGTGAACGAAGAGAGACCTAGCACATGATCCCGTAGCACCTGCTGAACAAAGGGATGTCGTAATCGTTCGCTATCGTTTATCTGTGAAAGAACAGTAGCGATGAGTTTCACATACAAATCTACATCTGGCACGCTGATTCGTGCCATCTGCATATGAAACAAGAAGGTGGCGTAGCTAAGACTTACGCAGAATGGTCGATTTTCAATTAAAGGAGTCACCTTGGTGTAGTATGAAGCCAAAGTGTGTAAGGAACTGGGTGAATTAGAGCTTACCTTGAGGCTCCGCTGCACCTGGGCAGCACAACTGGTAAAAAGTTCAAAGTCTGTCCCCTCAGTTGGTTTTAGTCCCGCACCGCCAGCCGTGTGGGACGTAGAAATTCGACTGCGCGCAGGCCGTTGACGTTTTCCATCATCACTGTGTCGCGATGTAGATGCTACACTTCCGTATCGGCTATCGGTCCCCCGTCGCGTCGGGCTAGTAGCACTAGTGGCAGTTCGGCCTGCAAAGAGGTCTGTAATCATACTAAATGAATCCACAAAAGGTGAAGGAGGAGTCGTGTAACGGCAAAAAAAAAGCTCTGCGCAAATCTAAGACAAATTAAAAAAGCACTATCTTCTATATGCGTGTACGAACAAATTTATTTTAATACCAGAATACAGTACTTGAGTTTGTAGATTGCTTTTTCGAAAGCAAGTTCGGCGATACAGTTAAATGGTTGTAGAAACCGTTGCTTATCAGTGGTAGTCAAATAGTGCTAACTTTATACCAGAAAATGATGATATATATGGGTATTTATATGACTGAGATAAACCTTACAATAATTGAGCGAAAAAAAAAACGGAAATAGGACACTACATATTGTTTTTTAAGAAAGCATCAACTCGCATGCTAGAGTTAAAGAAAATTTAGAGCAAATTTCATTGGCGGTGAAATTTTGTAGTATGACTTAAAAGTTGAGATTTGTACAGAAAAATCACACTGAAAGCTAAGATGAGGCTCCAAACTTTAGGTGTGCATGTGCTTCCTATTGCTTCAAATACATGCTTAATGAAAAATATTAATGAGAATAGAATATGTACGAACACTTTACATCATACACTTTTCCTCTCATAAGTGAAGAAGAAAATAACTGAAATCAATAAAAAATGCATCATCTCTTCTTCGGGCGGCGTGTATTGATTGGTGGGGAGACCGCATTTCGCTTCAAAGGACCTGGAACGTTGTGTTGCACAAGGCGGTGACTAGTTATCGGATGAAGCATTTCTGGGTCTACAGAGTTCTTGCCGGTGATTTTTTTTTTAAATTCGGTGCTCTGATAATTGTATCAGAATTCGCCATCCCTTTAGTTATGAGATTTTTGTTATCCAATAATCGACCAAGACCCAGGTGCTTTGAATTCGGGTATGCCTGCCTAGCGGCTGAGACGGGTAGGCCCCAGTGGTGAGCCCCCGCAGCTAAAGGAGATGGATGGTAGGAGGTCACCAGATGTGTTGCGAGTCTTGATACGCCTTCGTGCATCGTCATCACAGGGTGTTCCACCGAATCCTGCTCTTCCGCGGTATCACGATGCGCGCTGCCTCTCGTCAGGGTCAGCCCAAAACTGTTCGTGGGGGTGATACCCGTGCCCACCTCAGCCACCGCCTGGTGCGATGCGGCCTCTAGAAAAATCTTCCCCAAAGACTTCGGACCGCCTAAAGTGGATGGTGGTAGTTGTTGCGTAGCGGGGTTTGGCACATCGGAAGGGCTGTGCAAACCCGCACGGGGGGATCCAACTTTCCCCGCATTCTTCTCCTCTGAAAGGCCTATGAAGTTAGTGTTGAGTGGTGTCCGATTGTAAGAAGGAACGTCCTCAGAATGAAACTCGCCGCCAATGCATCGCCCCAACCTGGATGATTTATATCGTGAAGAAGTGTGAGGAGTAAAATGCAGGTGTTTTTTTCGTTTTTTGCCTAATGGGGATGGCGCTTTGATCACAAACTCAGATTTAGGTTTGGGAAAGCTGCAGGAAACCCTATAATTCTCGGCACCATAGGATGAAGTAGATATAGGGTATTTTTTATCCTCATCATTATCACACCGCAAGATATCATCTAGAATTAGTGGGTCAGCTGGAGAAAGTGGAGGAAGTGGATTTCTTGCCCCCATCGACCAAAAGCAACACCCGCCTTTAGCAGATGCACTATCTGCATCAATGGCCTTAGTGGTTATGCCCGCCGGAAAGGCATATGAAGAAGTGACATTAGTTGAGCATGGCCTACATTTGCGACGCTGCGTAAAATGCTTGGTCCCTGGGGAAGTTTTCGTAGGTACTGCATCCTCATAATGAGAAAGCATCTTGCCAACATCAATGCATATAACATTGATGCGCTCAGAATAATCACGGTTTGATGAACCCATTTGAGCTTGAGACGATGATATTAAAATGAGAAACGGTGAAGTGTATCAATAATATGGATATATATATATATATATAATGCTATAAAAATTGTTTGGATTTTTGAAAGGATAAGAAAAATTTTCTACACATATCCTGATAATCATAGAAAAAATTTCTTATCTTGGAAAATTAATTTGAATGTTCCTAAGTCCCTCGACATTACATTTCTACTTTGATACATTCTAAACTATTCATATGGATTCTGGAAATATATATATATATATTCAGAATTAATTTTGAAAGGGTGTTAATCTTCCGGAGAATGGAAGACCATTGAGATTTTTGTAAGACTAGCAGAATTTACAACACTAGAAAATGAAAAATGATCCCCAATCTTCGGTTTATGTGTTGTTATGCCTGCGCAAGCTTCCTGAGATCTAGAAGAGGTATCCCTAAGGTTTGTGCGCGGCACTCATAGATTGTGAGAAGCTCATTTGTCTTGCTTTCCATTTTCTTAAGTTCAAAATATAGATCCTTTATGGTTTGGTTCTTATGCGACAGATCCAGATCAATCTCGTCGGATACCGCCCGCATCACGGAGGGCTCCAAATGTAAAGCCTTCAAAATTCCTTCCAGCTGTGCATCACGTTCCTCAATCTTTGCATTAGCCTCCAGTAGCCACTGTTGCAAACCCGCATTCCCTTCGTCTAAAACATTCATGGCCTCCCGTAAAGACGACTCAAACTTTACTTTTAGATCCTCACGCTCGTCGTACACTTTTTTGTAATCTATCTCCAGTTGATGGTGCTGTTCACATAATCGTTTAAGTTCATCACAGAGATTTTTATATCGTGCACGAGTCATGCTCAAGCTCTGTTTGTCCTGAAAATGCTGCTTCTTTTTGAGTTCGAGCTCGGTAACCTCTCGCTCGGCTTGCTCTAACGGCGCAATTAGGTTCTGATTTTCCTTTTCTATATCATAGATAAGCGTTTCGTTATTGACGTCATTTTTTTTCATATTAACTATTTCATCCTTGAGGGCTTGGATAATCACTAATTTGTTTTTGGTTATGTTATTATAGTAGGACTTCATCTCTGCAAATTTTTCATCATGCTGATGAATTAAGTGATTAATGTGTTCATTCCAACGCTCCTCAATATCATTGACCTCCGCCCGACGTCGCAGTTCCAGGTCTTCTCTCAAGCTAACTAACTTTGCTTCATATGAGGACTGAAGTCGCGCCAATTCCTTTTCATGATTTTGTTTTTTGGTGACAGAGACCATATACTGATGTGTATCATGTTGTTCCATAATATAGTCCGCGTTCGTCTCAAGCGCAGTTTGCATTTCTTTGCTGTGGAGCTGCTTCTTTGAATAAATCTCAGTCATTATTTTTTCGTGGAGTACCTCGGCTTGTTGCAAAGCTGCATCACTTTCCTCCTTGAGTTGCTTAACAGAAAGTTTTTGGCCGTAAAGCAAGTGTCGCACCTTTTGCTTGTACACCTTCATTTCGATTTGATGGTTGCGCTCGAGCTCCACTAACTCACTCTCAGTGTTACTAAGACGTGCTTCTTCGTTAGAAAGTTCCTTTTTGGTGATTGCCCACATTTCATTAACCTTATCACGTTCTACCTGAAAATAATTGCGTAGCTGTTGGGCCTTAGTCAACACCTCATCCATGTTCTGTAAGGATTTGAGATCCTCAATAGGATTCACCGCCCGACCCACCTTAGCTTTTGAGGCGGATTTCTTAGAGAGTTTAGGTGGCATTTGCAAAAAAAATACTAAAAATGGAAACTAATTCGTTTACTGTATTTCTAATACACACAGCCCTTTATCCTGTATGCTTAAATTGACTTTGTTTACTTTCGATTAAAAGAGAAAAAAATATATAGAAAAATTGGAAAACGAGAAAAGGAAGGTTTTAAACCCCTACACAAATAAATGCATAAGGATTCAAGAGATGTACCTTTTGAAGATTCAATCCTGAATTGATGAAACACCAAGAGAACAGACAAAAAAATATGAGAAATGTAATTATACCTACAGTATGTCTGCAGCTACTTTTCGACCTTCAATGTTTTCGTTTTCGCGTTCTATCATACACTTGATTTCAACAATCTTGCTGTAAATGTCCCTCCACGATTCACCATGTGCCTGGTCAGCAGCCCAACTTTTCAGCTCGCGCACACATTCCTCAAACTCATGTTGCCGACGTTTAGAATTAATCACAATGTCAGCTGTCGAGGATATAAAGGTCAACCGCGTCAGCAGAGACTCACGGAGAAAAGTATATGCATTGCGCATCGCCCGTGCACGCATTACAAACCGGTGGACTCCATCCACCTGAGAAGATTCATGTCTTTGAATTATCTTGCACGCCTCATCACAACCCACACGCAGCCCTGGAATATCCTCCGGTAAGGGACCTTTCTTCGTAGCGGCATCATCGACTACATCCCTCAAGGCGTCCAGGAACGACAAGACATGACGGGGGTATGTAGCATACTTCTCCACCTGTACGTCCAGAGGGGACCTTGGGTGGATCTCGAGGAGAGTCTTAGACAGCCGTTCAAGCGTGAAGACCAGCAAGTAATACCAAAGCTCGTCTGCTTCCTCCAGTGCCTGTCGCACAGGCTGATGATTTGCATGGATGTAGGGGTAAACATTTTGAGCTAGTACTGCAAAATTGCTGGACATTGTTTTATAGCTCTCGGATAATGTCGCACTGAAGGTCTGGATGTGGTCAGGCTCCTGCATAGACTCTAAATTCGAAATTTGCTTCCGGCACCAGAAGATGAGCTTGTTGCATTCCTTATAAAACGAGACAAGCTGCTCATCCCGTGTTTTTTTCTGTTGCAGACCCTGCTGAACATGTTCAAAAGCCTCCTTCGCAAGACACTGCACCTCTGCCATCAAATGCTCCTCGGTATTTATTGGAATACCCTTAGCAGATACCTTGAGTCGGAGGCTATCCAAAAGCTGTACAAGCTGCTTCTCCTTAGTATTCCATGTTTCTACTTGCGTGTAATGAATATCTGTGGTCGGAAAGCGGTCTTCAGTAATATCTTCTAAGCTTTTAGAAAGAAGAGCTTTGAAGACAGTCTGAGTTACTGTGAGCTGTGCACGCAGCTCGGCCAGCTGAGTTGCAAGCATTTGAAAAGCCCTGGCATCGTTAGGAATGTCTCTCTTGAAATTACTAATCAGGACAGACTCGATGCTAGACGTCGTGGCTACGCACTCTCTCATGGCAGTTAACTGCAACTCGGAATACTTGGTGTTTAACTTTTCGGGGTCATGATTTAATTCTTCTATACTTCTTTCGGCAGTATACCCATCCTCTTGATTATCAGGAGAATCGAGAGTTTTCAACAGTCTAGTAAATTCATCGTGGATTACCTTATAGTCTTCTATGGTGATCTCATCCTCGGATTTCAACTCCACATTAACCAGTTCGCTATGAAGCTGGTTATAAATTTCTTCAAGTTCATCATTAGACATAGACTCCACTTCGCTACAAATCAAGAGTCTAAACCTTTTAATCGGTATATTTTTTCACCGTTAGACCTACCCGCAGGAGTTAAGACCTATAGCTATTGATAAATAGAAATTCAATTCAAGAAGCACAAAAGAGGATTTTTCACAGCAGAATTTAGAAGTCACAAGAAATTAAACATTCTACTTTGAGGAGCTAGACTAGCTTATTCATGGAAAATTAGTTCTAAATAAATAATAACAAAAGTACATTTATAGCATCTCCTACGTCATATTGGCAATGTGTCTGAATAAAACCATCAGTAGCAATCAAAAAAAAAGTAAAAAGAGGTGAAACTGAGGCTTTTTAGTTCTTTCCAAGCTCACGCAGCCGGCGCACGGTGGATCGAACCGTGCTGTTGTTGGGAGTGCTCAGGGTATAAGCACCACCGACCATTGTCTTTCCACAGCCTCCACAGCGCCAGATGCCAACGGCCTTTCGGCAGAAGCCGAATTTACCACAGAACGAGCAGAAGTGCTTGGCGTGCTGAGAGATCTCGAGCTTCTTGGCGCGTTTACGGGGGTTCGCACCATAGCGAACCCCATAGCGGCCCATCACGCCCATCTTCACGGTGCGTTTGGACATTATTAGGTGGGGATGACTATCGGGTGTTTGTTGCAAAATAAAATAAAAAAAGAGCAGAGGTGAAAACAAATGAAATAGTGCAAATAACTACTGTGCATCAACTTGGTTGATATAACCTTGCTGACGCAGTTTTTTAAACAAAAATGTAGGGTAAACCATTTTAATAAAGGATCTACGGTTTAGTGGTTTATTCATGGTGATGGATAATATAATTAATATACCAAAAGTAAAAAAAGGTTTCAAAATAAGCATAGAAATTTAACGAAGGGCTAAATACTTTAAAGGGAAAAAACTGAAAATACATTATACTATCATGTACTATAACGAATTTGTATTTTCGCATCCTCGCTTAGTCAGCTTGTCATCGTTTATAAAAATATAGTAATAAATTTGATGAACAAAAAATATTTGCTTAGCCCAACTTAGCTTCTGAAGAAGATGACTTCACTGTGAACGCAAATAATCCACCTTCAGAATTTGCTACTCTAGTGTTATCCTTTTCATAATCTATTTAAATGTAGAAAATGATACTGGTCAATATTACAACAAAAATACTCCAAAGCACAACATCACGGATCAAGGTTTCAGAAAGATGCACTACATGCTCCTGATGTCCTTCTGTTGTCCCTTCTTGTGCAAAAGACGCACTGTTAGATGGTCTTGGTACCTCTGTACTCCGACTGTTGGTGTTATCACCGTTGCCTTGATCTTCCCTAACGTTGCTGCTTGCATCTGCCCCTCGAGTGATTAACCTAGATAATCGTTGATAAGCATTCTGTATTACAGTACTCCAATCACGCCACGCCGCAAAGTTATAGATCCCCCAAATCAAACCTACGGCTATGGTCATCCATAAACTACCACCAAGAAAGAAAAAAGAGCTTCCGACGGTTAACGGAAGACCACCCCGCTGATGGTACTGAAAAGGATGTACAAATGGTGTGCGTCGTGGTGGTGGTGGGGCCCGCGGCGCACTAGGGAGAGGATGTGAAGCGCGATTGGTGTAGCTTGAATTAGATTGAGAATTGGAAGAGCTCCTGTTGTTGGTAAAGACTCCAGAAGGATGCACCTGCTCCCGAGTGAGAGGGTGCTCAGCGTAGTTGAAACTGTAAGCTGTCGGACTAGGAATGTCATAAGTCGCGGTACAAGCGGCGTTGTCCTGGGATTCCGGCCTTTGCGATGGTGGCCTTGGGTATTGGTCTACCTGTTTGCCTTTCCCATACAGAGGTATAATATCCCCCGGAATACGCTCATCCACGCGCCCCTTGCATACTGGGCAATCTAATATCCCATTGGGGTTATTGAGCCAATGGTCAAGACAACCCCAGCAAAAAAGGTGTCCGCAGCGTGTTACAACAGGTTCTGTTGCAATATCTAAACAAATAGCGCAATTAAAGTCAATCATCCTCCTCCTTCCCTGAGGTCTTAGTCAAAGTTTTGTAATTTCAAAAAAGGTATTATATATATATATATAATATGCAAATATTCAAAGATTTAGAAAAAATATCTAAATTATATAAAAATCTTCTTTATTCCTTACACAGGAGGCTATGGAATCCAAAAGGATAAATTATTAATAGACATTTATGAAAGAGTTTAAGAGAATTTATAAGGCACAAGCAATTAGATACAAGTACATCAAGTAGTGTAAATTCATAAATAAACTTTTCAATATCCCCTTAGGCACACATAAAATGGAAAATCTATGAGTTTTTGGAGCATCGCAAGTCTGTGGTTTGAGTTTAAAAAAACTCTGTAAAAGGAAACATATAAACAGAATATAATGAGATCATTACTTCAGGATAACAAAAACGAGAATTAATAATCTATTGTTAATAGTAACAATTAAAAAAATAAGCTCTTACAAAATGCCGTTAAAATATTAATAAAAATAAATTCGTTTGTGAATGTGAAAAGATTTATACGTAATTATCGTTAAAATTGTTCGTAATTAACATAATTTAAGCGACTCTTCAAGTTGCAGGGAGTGGAACACAGAGCCATTCGTGAAGAAGCCAGAGGTCCAGTTGTTAGATAAATATGCCCTATATAATAACGTCCATGTATATTTTTATGTAAAGGGTGTGCAAATAACTTATGACGCACTAACTACAGCTGAACAGACTTAAAGTACAAAGACCAAGAAGAAACTCGCTTGGGATACTAAACCAAGTATCGTCCAAAAGATGAAAAAAAGTAGTATCTTAACAGTCAAAGGACATAATTAATGACTAATAAGAACTTTATGTAGTGATGCATCACATAGAAATCAAGGCCAAACGCTTCTATTATCCAAAGGTAATCCTCATGGAATATATAAATATAAAAAATTACCCTTACAGCATCTAGAAAAGTAGGAGCTAAAGATTATTTATACGCTTATATGATTACTAAAGCAAAGAAAAAAATAGGGTAAAACAGAAAGATCCTGGTAATCGTAACGCACATGACAATTAAATTGGTGTGTTTTACAATGGTAAGGAAATTCCTTACAGGAATGAGTTTTAATAGTAAATAGAAAAAAAGAGGTATTAGGGGTATTTTAAAACTTGGAAAAAATATCAACTAAATTCATAAGCTTTCTATCAACTTGAAATATTTTATTAAAGATCTACACTTTTTTCTATTATTCTTCTTAATTTTTTTTTACTCAACGTTAAATATAAACTGAAAAATACTTAATTTGACTTCAACATTTACCATTTTTGCACCTTAAAATAAAAATAATAAATTTTATAAGAAATGTGTTGGCAAAATATTTTCTCATTAAATATATTATGTTTTGCCACACATACATGAATGTATCAATTAGTTTTTTTTACAATTTTAATTAATAAAAATAAAACGGAATTAATTTCCATAGAATATCTATTTGTGAAAAAAGAGCTTACGGTTAAACAAAAAAAAAAATAAGTTTTACTGTATTCATATTATGGTTAATATCAACTTATTAACTTTTCAACTTTATTTTTAGCATGGTTACAGTCCCCTGCAGAAGGCCTTTGGCTACTTTGTCAAACTATGAATATCTTCCCGCGACCTTTCCTCACCTAAATCGCCGAAACACTTACGCCAACTAAGTCTCTGAGGTTGTTTGCCCTACCTTATTTAGGCCAAAATATAAGGTTCAACAGCAGTGCTGAGTTAGAGCCAGCACACAAACCAAGCATTAGGAAAATCCCAGACAAAATACCTGCTAGTGAGCGCTCCCCAGCTTTGGTTAGAGTCGGAGTACGTGGAGAATACATGCTCGCCATCGTACCAAAGTACCCATTTGACATAGAAACGAGTAGAGACAGAATGTAGGGTACGGTAGATCCTTTAATAACATGATTGGCGCACAGTATCAGTAACGGAATAAAACCAGATCGTCCGATGGCTCCGATTAGCACAGCCTTCGGGGACGGACGAAAAGGGCGGTGCATCAACAGTATACGCCCTAGAAAGTCTCCAAAATTAAACAGAAAGACTACAAGTGTGAAATACCAAGGATTATTACCCACGTCAGCTTTGAAGAAAAGGCCTGGAAACAAAAGGAGACTCAAGTAGTATGTGAAAAAGGTACAAAGTAGCATTGGCCACACTCTCTTAGCCACGCCTATAACACTCACTCTGAGCATCTGATCAGTCGATTTTATGTTCTTCACTTGATCGACGTCTACCATTTTGTCTGCATCGCCAACAGCCCTCAATATTGCTGTGCTGAGACCGTGGTGATGCCTAGAGGTATGATCAGTGTTAAAACCCTCCGCTTGATTCATACCCTCATTCCCCTGCGAAGCTTTTTTGGGATCATGCCCTATTATGGAATTATTGTCAGTTGAGACATTCATGTTATCAATGAACTGAGGGTTAACATTATGGTCGTTTAACATTGAAGAAGACTTTTCAGAATTCGGATCTTTCTCCTTAGGATTATGGAGTGCGTTCTGTTCGTTTTCAAAATTTTCATTTGATTTATGTTCCGCCTTGTAACGGAATTCGGCATTGTACTTTTGTGCAAACGGATTTTTGTATAAAATCAATATCTCAATCACCGTTAACAACTGAAAGAACATGCCAATGCCAAGGTAAATGTGACACTGCTTCAAGACATCCTCGAAGCTATCAGACATGGAATACTTCAGAATAATCTGAACGATCGACATCAGAAGCGGAGATATTGATATACCCCATTGCTCGCCATTGACAAATTTTGTGGGAAAAGGTCCCACAATAGCATTTGTGGTCGTATCAATAACAGCCTTTGAAAATCCACCAAAAATTGCCATGATTATTATCACTGCAATGGCACCATCTTGCGTGCGAAGCTTGATGATGGGAACAATATAAAGGATGAGCAGCTCAATAAATGGAATGGATAAACCAACCAAGAGACGGAGAAGGAGAGGAATGCGACGTATAAAATTGGTCAACGTCAAAGACTCACAAGTGAATTGTACTGAGTACAAGACTGCGAAAAAGAAGGTAAGTGCGTTGTTCCAAAACCAAGGCTTCTCACATACTGCGTCGGGTTTGCCAGTTGCATAAATGTAGAACAAAGAAACAAAAGACGGAGCGCTAAGCATGATACCCAAAACCATCATGATAGCCATGCCTAACAGGACAAATGTGATGTAAACATTTACCTCTGCAAGGCTGTGAAATCCCAAAAATACCATTTTCTCCAAATTAGCTAATCTGGATGTTCTCGACACTTGGAAATAAGGATTTTTAATTAAAAAATATTAATGGGATAAACTTTATTATGCTATTAAATTTTCTACAACAAAATAGGAAAGGAAAACATAGAATACATTATTATTGCAAGTCGAGAAGAGTAGTGGATCATAAAGTACGCAATGAAAAATATCAGTGAAAATAAATTAATGAAGTTCGGACATCTTATGAAAATTCCTTTATCACCTTACACACACATATGTCCCACCAAGAGAAACATGATTATATAAACCAATTGATCGAATCGGTATGAAGTAGCATGATAGAGCCCATTAATCACGAAGTTGCTTAGAGTCGCTGTTATGAGAATCATGTCCGGCGCACTTGGGTCCTGGTATATCTTGTTGGTTTAAAAAACTCCGTATTCTATCTATGTCCTCATGGAGAGCAGTAAAACGTGCAAGCTCCTCAGACTTACATTTGGCCAAATGCACTATGTGGGGCGCTACTCCCGCCATCACAGCCACCTCAACACCGTAGCTCCTCGAACATATACCCGACACTAGGCGATAGAGAAACGTAGGAGCTAACAAGGTATGACAACTGTCCGCACTCCCGTCGTGGTGTTTGTTACTCTCACACGATGATTCTAGTGAGGAAGTTTGTTTCAAGATGTTGCTACTAATATTACTAAATGCAAAGTCCATGTATCCCAGTTGAACATTTTTAATCTTGTCAGGACTTCCAACACTGCAAGAAAAAGTGCTGAGACCTTGGTTGCGAGACGGTAAACTCACCGTGCAGCCGCAGCGCTCCTGCTCAAACGCCAACGCATGGTAATGGGTGGAAAAGATCGTAAGTGGCGGTGGGTCAATGTCTTCCTTGAGCACCTGTAACGAGGCGTGAGCAATGGCAAGCCCATCGTGGGTAGAGGTTCCTCTCCCCAGCTCATCAATAAGACAGAGGCTTTGCCCGTTGGCGCGGCGCAATATTTCAGATGTTTCACTAAGCTCGACATAAAGTGTACTCTGGCCCTTGTGCGACGCGTCACGTGCCCCAATACGAGTAAAGATTCGGTGTATTGGTGAGAACGACATGGCACTGCCCAGTATAAGACCGCCCATTTGTGCCAAGATTACATTCACGGCTATTGTGCGCATTAGTGTGCTCTTGCCGGCCATGTTAGGGCCTGTGAGGACAAGGAGTCGCCCAGCCTCCTCATCCAGTGCGACAGAATTGGGCACAGCGTTTTCAGGTACCAACGTCGGGTGCACCAAATCACTAGCCCGCAGGAAAGCGCTACCGACCGTGGGCTGCCCTAGGTCCCCCGCTCTAGAAAAGTCCCCAGAAACGTTCGGCCGGCTGTCTATCCCATTGCGGCAATCGGGAGTAACGAGCTGCGGGAAGCACATCCTCGGATAACAGTTCCATAGATTAGCAAGACTCATGAGGCAGTCAAAGTACGAGAGCGCGCTGGAGGCATTGTAAAGAGTAGGAAAATGCTCGCAAACTTGTGCAGCCACGCGCCGCAGAACAGCATACAGTGCTGCGGATTTCGATACTGTCGCTTCTCTGTGCATCTCCACTAATGGTTCCAACGCTTCCATGGAATACTTAACACTTTTGGCGCCACGTGCACGCTCCACCAAGCCGCGTGGTGTCAACTTTGGGGTATCTGCAGAAGCCACCTCCAGCAGAAACTGGTCCTTTCCCAAGCTAGTGAAAGTAACCATGGCGTTTGAGAAGAGCTCTTGCTGTGCTTTTAACCGTACATCGTGAAGCTTGGCTTCTATTGATGTAAGTCTATCGACAGCCATGTCGTACTCGGCTGAGGTGCCTCTGGACGGAATCAACATGCCGGCTTCCTTCACTGACTGTTGATCGAAGAGTCCTTCAATCGCAGACACAGTCAACGTAGCTGCCTGAATCTTTTGGAGCAGCTCACTAAGCAAACTCGGAATCTTCTCAGTGGGACGCTGCTTTCGACAAACTGAGTCGAAATAGTGGCACCAGTCCATCAGCTCCCTAAAAGCTCTCACAGTAGTTGCAATAATAGTAAGATTTTTGCGATAATGCACTAGAGGGTCGACGTATGAAACGCTAAGCTCTTGATCAATCTTCATTTCTGCAAGGCGCGAAAGATTACGCTCAAAATCGACATTGACGAAATGCGAGTAGCTGCTCGCGAGGTCTGAGCGCGCCCGCTTGTACGCTGGCAAAGACAATTCTGAACCACCTGGTGAAGTGTTTGGAGAAACTAAATCGCGCTGGGAAACCCATGAAGACATTTTTTCCGAAGTAAAAGGACTCAATTGAGAAATTGGAGGAGTAGTCACAGACACCGTAAAGTGATTTAACCAAACCTCCTTGTACAGTCCATCCTCTACTAAAAAGCGAACCACTTCCTGTCGTTTCCGGATAACTGTAGCATCCGAAGCCGGTCGAAGCACCCATGTCCGAAAAAGTCGTTTCCCACCGCTGGTGAGACAGTAGTTAAGTGTTTGGTACAGAGAGTGTGTTTCACTGCCATCCTGCAGGTTTGCCACGATCTCGAGATTTCGAACTGTACACGCGTCTAGTACAAGGCCGTGATCATATCTACGCTCCCAGGACAGCAAGTTAGACTCCCGCCCAAAAGTATCAGACGAAACCCTGCCACAGCGCTCTCCGTCTGTGACATCAGTCCCAACTTCGATATTCCTAAGAGTTGAGAGATGGGCCGTGTACAGTTGTGCCTCATCTAGGAATGATTGTTCTTGTTCTTTCCTAAGTAACCGAAAGTAAGCTTCCATAAGCATTCGCGCAGGCGAGTTAACTCCAAGGCACGCCCTCTCAGGTGGCAGGGACGCAGACACAGAGATGCGCTCCACAGGGTAGTCCTCGCTCTCTATCCACGTCAACAAAAAGTCTGAAAGCGAATTTAGATGACTTACTGCAGAGTATTCCCCAATGTCAGAGGCCTCCCCAGGAATAATCACCTCCTGGGGGTCAAGTTGTTGAAGAAGGGCTAATAAAGTCTGAAGAGCTTCCTCTGTCCACAAACGCTCCTGATGCTCACGCTCCATTTGAGACACCTTATCAGAAACTTTCCCCCATTGGTAAGAGCCACTTAACCCTCCACCATCACGCAGCGCTTGAATTCCATCGGCGTTTCCGCAAGGGCACCAATGCACAACACGTCTCGATATATCCACAGCAAAACAATCAATGACACCCAAGTGATAGAGTGCAGGAGACACTGCTAAAACAAAAATAGCCTTATGCCCAGATAGCATGGCAAAATCTGTGACTGTCCCTGGCGTGAGTATCTCCACCAGCTCACGACGTATAACCTTCGCCTTGCATGACACACCCGAAACCCCGACATTGTCCTCATGTAGCTGCTCCACACGCCCGACCTTGTATCCGCGACACACAAAAAGACGAGCCCATTCACTAAAACTCTGCTCCGGAACACCGGCCAGGCGCATTTTACCACGGCTGCTGGTATCGACAACAAGCTTGAGGCCAAACTCACGAGACGCCACAACCGCATCATTATCATACAATTCATAAAATTTACCCTTTTTAAAGAATATAATAATATTGAAATGCTTCATCTTAATTTCCCAATACTGGCGCTCCATGTTGCCCATAACGTTAAGATCCTTCGATGTGATTACAATCGTAGGTGGCGGACGAACAAGGTTGATGCCTTTGAGAAAGGAATAGGAAACACCCACTCCGTTCAGATCAACATGCTCATCAAACGTAGACATGAAAGTTGAAAAGGGAAGGCTAGAAATAACTAGCGTCCTATAGCATCCAAAATAGACGAATAAATAGGTGAAAGATATATAATAACTTTGATGATAATTTAAGCATGAGTCAAATAATAACAGTTGTATAGGACCTTTAATCAGCACAGATGGTAAAAACTATAATGAGGTTCGTAATTCTACCTCGCAAATAACCTGAACAAGCATAACAACCACACCTTTTACTATTATTTTGTGTTTATAGAAAATCAAAAATATTATTATTGCTTATTTATTATAGTTGAATTATTTCAATATCAAATGTGCGATTACATTTATTTAAATTAAAAAAATGTGCACAACCCTACAGTCTTATATTAAAATACAGAAAAAATAAGAGTATAAAATTAAGAAAACAGAGAATTAATTATGTTAGTATCATAATTAATTTATTAATATATACATACTACTGGTTCTGTTCTTGAGATCCAGGGATTGTTGATCATTACATTCTTCTCCCTTTTATAGATGACATGAAATACAACTAAAAACAGTGTTTTCTGATACCTTGTTGTATGACAGGAACAGTACATTTACATTATTGATGATTTAGAAAACTCTTAAAAACATGAATTAATTCATATATGTAATTCAGCACCTTTACAACTCATCAGATTAACATTAGAGTTTTAGATTTTTGCTTGGATGAAAAGAAAGAATTCTTTATATATGTGATCATTGACCTCGAATGTTAAACATAAGTAATAAGAATACTACTGAGTTTTGAACTTTTTGAATAAAATAAAAATATAAAAAATTGAACTAAAAGAAAAATAGATACTCAGTACTTTATATAAAAGTGAAAAAAAAATGGAGCAAAATGTTGCACCTTGAACTTTTTTTATTTACCTGTATAATAATATTAAGATTGCGTTTAGATTTTTACCTAAATGAGAACAATGAGGAAAAAATAATGAAAATAAATATTCCACGTGGCTGTTAATAAACCTCACAAATGGCAAAGTATCGTCATTGAATACAACTAATACTGATCCAGTTTTCCACAATCCAATCAAAAATTTAAAATATTTAAGGACAGTTTGAAATATATTTAAAGCTGTCGTGAATATTTCGAATTATTATTTATTTAAGTGAAACTAATCAATAAACAATGACCGTTTATTAAGATGAAAATTATATAATGTTGTAAATATAGTATTTCTAAAATGCTGCAAAAATAAGTATTGATCACTTTGCAGACAAATGTTTTTTTGGGGTGAAATATAAATATATTACCTGAATAAAAAAAAATAGATTTTAAAGCCCTAATATTGATCTAGAAAAGTGAAATAATATATAATGATTTGATAATTATAACAATCAAAAGATAACTTATCGTTATGGACAAATATATCTATATTTATCGTGCAGACATGAAACTCATCGCTTAATATTGGGGTATTCCTTTTAGTTTTTAGATATGCATTCTGAATGTTAATAATTTTAAAGGATATAAACTACAGCTGCAACAATATTTCAATATTAATAATCGAATATTGAAAAAAAAAGTGTAACCTGAAACGTATTTATCTTCAGTCTAGCTATTTTTGCTCTGAGATTTTAAAAAAACTTTATAAGACAGAAATAACAGCAGTTTTTTTTATATATGTACTAAATCTACTGCAATAACAAAATCATAGAAATAAATAGATTCAATTAATGTTTCAAACAAATCATCAGGATTTGTAGCATTATGAAAAAAATAGAAGAAATATATCATTGTTTTCGTACATAGAATGTGTATAATTTTTTCCTGTCTAATGATTAAAATAGCAAGGAATCTTCAGTTTATAAAAAGCTTTCTGAGAATAATATAAAATACACCGTTTCTAAGATTAAAAATTCTAATGTAATTTTTTTGATAAGATATAAACTTTTCTGAATAATGATAAATTTCATGTGAAAATAAAAGGAGTGTTTCTATAAAAATGTGTAGAATTTTTTAGGATATCAATAAAGACTATTGTTTTGTGCTAAATAAAAGCATGATTGATAATAAGGTCATCCCTTGCCATAAAAATGAGAGTAAGTCACATAGATAATAACAAAGAAGCATATGCCGTTTAATATATACATTTCGTATAGAACTACGTACCAGTTACTGGTGAAAATTACTATGTATTCAATCAATTATTCAAGTAGACCCTGATACTTTGTAATTTAACATTTTTCTAAGAGTACAGACCGTGTATGAGATTTGAATATAAGAAAATAGGAGAGTACATCCAAGTTTAATTTTTTTTTTTGATAATTTATGTCAAAAAATCCCCTATGATATACTAAAGTGCCCTAAGATTTATTCTGGTTTTCTATCATAGAACCTAACTCGAGGTTTTTTCGGTAGAAAAAGGAACACTACATACGTTTGGAAAGCGTTATATGGAAAAAAAAAAAGTGACACGCGGGGACAAAAAACCTGTAACCTCTTAATTTGAAAATATACCCCAACGACCCTTTGGTTTATTATCAAAGAGAAATGCTCAGGATTTAATTGAATACATTTCTAGGAATGAGTTTAACCTCTCGAAATCCCCAGGCCTCAGCTCCGCGAGCGGCGGAATTTATACTAATGGAAAAGTTTTTCAAGC